CAGTCCTGGGTTTGAATCCTAACTGTGTCATTAGCTCTCAGGGTGGCCATGCAAGTGATTCAACCTCTCTGAACCAGGGATTTTATTGTTCTTTTTCTGTTTATTACTTCTTTAAATGAAACCACCTATCTCAGACTCTTGTGGGCTAAAATGTCGGTACAGCCCAGTTTCTGGCACATAACAAAGTCTGAAGTATTAGCATTAATCAGCACTTTCTGAAGAATAAGCATGAATGATCTGGTAAATCCCAAATGTAAAAACTGGTATGTGGGGTGGCTTGGGGTAAGGATCAGGCTTTTCATCTTTGCAGGCCAAGTAGGAAGAACGAGATMAAGTTAGGAGTCCTTCCTGTCCTGGGGTGGAGTGTGGGGCAGTGCTCAGTTCAGTTTGAGGAGAGTCCATGGGGAACGGGACAGTGGGAAGGGCCAAGGCTTCTAGGATCCTTGAATGACTTTACCACAAAGCCAGCGTTGTGCAGAGAGGAAACTGAGTCCCAAAGAGAACACCATCTTCCCCTGACTCATGACTGCCAATGACAGATGGGACCAGTCCTTGTCCCTGAGGTAAGACCATTCATTTGTGCACAGTGTGGGAGAGGGCTGTGACAGGGGTCACAGGAGTGGAGGAGACCCTTCGAGGGGGCTCACAGAGCTCACAGGAGGCGCTGGACAGATGGCTGGTGGTTTAGGGGGCTGACAGTCCTGAGAAGACCTTGTTCCCACAGGAAGAAGGGAGGGAGCAAGGAGGCAGGATGTGGAGGGCAGGGAGCTGTCAGCGCCAGGAATTTTTCACAGAGAGAAAAGGGGTGACGAGTGGAGGTGGGTTAAATCCCCCCAGCCCACCCCCTGCCTGAGTTCCAGTCCCCCGAGTTCCCTTCTGTTTTTCTTCTGTTGCTTCTCAATTCTACTCTGAGGTGGAAACTGCCATTGTACCTGTTCCCAAAGGGCTTTTGCAGAGACAAAACTGTCTGGCCACCTGGCCTTTCCTACTCCCTCCAGGGTCAGGACCAGGATTTTTTTTTTCTCCCTCCTCCCTTTCCTTCTTTTCTTGCTTTTGAAAATTGTATTTTTAATGGATACATAATAAATGTACATTTTTAAAATATGTATTTTTTATTGTAGCTGGACACAATATTTTATTTATTTTTATGTGGTGCTGAGGATTGAACCCAGTGCCTCACGTGTGCTAGGCGAATGCTCTACCGCTGAGCCCCAGCCCCAGCCCCTAATGGTACATTTTTTGGGGGGTCCAGTATGATGTTTTGATGCCTGTATGCCTGATGCAATGATCAAATCAGGGCAATAGGCCTATCTATCACCTCCAACAGTTGTCATTGCTGTGCATACGTTTCTAATAAGAGAACTCAGAGCCCSGTGAGGAGCCCCACTCTGGCCTAGATTCCCATTTACGGAAGGCACAGCTGGTGGTGACTTCTTAAATCTGGCTGGGCCAATTCCTACAAGGCCAGGCCCGGGTACCTCGGCCTGGAGAAGGAAGAGCTGCAGCTCTGGGCAGGGCAGCCTTGCCTTGCTGGTGACACTGACAGCGAAGCCCCAGCAGCAGTCTGATCTTTATCTAGTGAGTGGCCAGGTTTTCCAGGCGTTTTACTTCCATTGCTTCATAGACTCCTCACCAAAACCCAAGGAGGAAGTTGCTGTGATTATTTTGGTATCACAGAGGAGCAACCYGAGGCCCTCTGAAGCTAAGAGTCATGATCAAGGTCACCAGGTAGAAAGGCGAGGCCAGGAGTTCCAGCCCCTTGAAGTCTGTCTGACTTCAAGGCCTCTGTGCCTACCTCTGCAACCAGGAAGCTGGAGTGAAGGGGGGTTAAAGCAGGGCAGGTGAGAAGTCAGGCTTTGGAAGACAAAACTGGTTCCTACAGATGGAGGAGAGGCTGGTGGCCTTTGGGATCTCTCTTAGTCTCTGCGCCTCTAGAGGGGTCTTGAGACCAGAGGCAGGCCTTCTTTCCTTCCTTCTTCCTTCCTTCCCTCCTTCCCTTCCACCCTTCCCTCCCTCCTTCCCTCCCTCCCCTCTTCCCTCCCTCCCTCCTTCCTTCCTTCCTTCCACTGATTGAACCAGGGGCAGTCTACCATTGAGCTATATCCCCAGCCCTTTTTTTTACATTTTGTTTAAAGGCAGGGTCTCCCTTTGTTGCTGAGGCTGGTTTTGAACTTGTGATCCTCCTGCCTCAGCCTCCCAAGTATCTGGAACTACAGGCTCTTGCCACCATACCCAGCTGAAACTAGAGGTATTTCTAAACTAAGCTACAGAAAGAGACTGGCTTCGTTAGCAGAGGGAGGTTATTGGGGGCCTACGGGCAAGATGAGAAAAAAGGTCCATTGACAGATGAAGACAAGCTCTGGTGGGACAGTGACTGGACACAGCTGGCCRCTGGAGTGTCCTCGGTTTTCATCCCAGCTCTATCTCTAGCTGTGTGACCTTAGATAGGACGTTTCCTCTTTGATCTTGGGTTCTCWGAGCTGTGCCCTGAAGCTCCGTGTTTTCTGAGGCTGCTTCCTGCTGACAGCCTGTGGTTTCGGCCTTGGATGTTCAGATGGGGCCTCCAGAAGGGGAGGGGGGAAAAGACTTAAGAGGGCGTCTCTGGGAGAGGAGTTGTCTTTTGGAACGTAAACAGACCTGGGAGCCTCAAACAGGCAGCCCCTTAAAAGGGCAAATATGTGTGTGCCCAGAGTGGGACAGGCCCTGCCCTTGGGGGATGGAACTTCTCTCAGGAGGGGCGTGTCTACCTTTCCCCTCCACTCCCTGTGCTTAGGGAGATATTGAAACTATTCAATAACAGGTGTGGCCTGGACGGGAACCAATCAGAGCAGTCAGGCTGTGAACAGGRGGTATAAGGTTGGACCAGGGTGTCCAACGTTTGGTTAGCCCAACTCCTGTGCATGATTCTTCCAGAAAAACCTGGCTTAGGTGCTAAAGAGCCAAGAGTTGGGTGGGGCAAGTTGAGTGGGTGAGGCAGGAAGAGGGGACTACTATCCTCCCAGACATCAGCCTGTCCCCCTAGARCCCTGCCATGCTGCCACCCAGCCTCACCACACCCTCACGCCCTGCATGATGCAGTCCAGCTGACCAGCTGCTGATGCACTGCAGAGACTTAGGAGACAATGGGGAACTGATCTGTATTCTGCGTGGTCATCCCCTGCTCCATAACAGGCAGGGTACCTCCCTGGAGCCTGTTGCTGTCTGCCTGAGGACATGGAGCCTGACCATCGACCATTAGTGCTTTGTCTCACACACTCTTGGCTCCTGGCTACCAAGTCCTGTGGAAGTCTCCCTTCCTCTACATTTTCCTCAGCTGCCAGCCTGTCCCAGGCCTTGGGTCCATGTGCCAGGATCGCTGTGTCCACCTGCCGTCTGCCTCCCCACTTTCAKACCCTGGGACTGATTCTCACTCCCTACAAAAGTTCCTGATGGYTTGTCACCTGGTGACAGATTTCAATCAGTATCACCTAACTGAATATTAAGGAACCGTCTTTCCCYGTTTTCCATGAGTATAGGTCATTTCCCAACTGACCAAGAGACATGTACTCAGCACAAACTAAGCACAAGTACTTTATTAGCTATAGAAGTGGGGGTGGGTGTCAAGAAGCAGGAGACAGGACCCCTGCCCTCCAGGGGCCTTTGCTGTATTCATGAYGACGGGCAATATCAATATGATAATTAAAAGACATCCTTAGACAATGTGTTTTTTGAGGGTTGCCTGGGTCCCTTAAAAGACATGTCACAAATTTTGTAAAAAMAAAACAAAACAAAACATAAAAACAGAGCCAATAAAAAGTTCTAGAATGACAATTAAAATAGATCATGATTTATATGAAAAGCCGGATGTTACATTAAATTATTACATGGATAAGAGTTCAGAAATAAAGCAATGTTCTCTAGAAGTTATCTTGAGTTCACTAGGAACAAGTTATGCCACATGTATCTTGTTGTTTTTTTCTTTGATAAGGTTCTAGAGCTCCGTGYAGAGGAATGCCCTAGATTTAGCATACCTTGAGTTCCACAGGGTTTTAGGAAAATTTTTTCATTTTGTCATCATAGAAAAGAGGGCTGGATAAAAGCATAGTCATGTGGCTTTCGAGCTGGTTGGAGCAATGAACCGTGAGAGTATCGATGACTAGTTCTCTGGCATTCTGAGATGAGGTGGTTGTGTTGTGGGGCTGAATGTCTTTGTCATTGTTGACATGTTCAGTGACGATGTAGATGATGGCCATAGACCTTCTAATCAGTCAGTGATCTGAATCAAGGAGAAACAGCAAAGAAGAAATGATACCCCGCCCCCGAAATGAATACCATCCAACAGAGAGAAATAATCTTATATTTATGTTGCCAAACTTCAGATCTATAAGTATGGGATGGGGAGAATCTAGCTGGACCTTGCTGCTATTTCACATTTATCCAAGTACAACAGGCTGGGCAGAAAACTGAGCAGATGTCAGAACCTCCAATCCTCGGTCCGTGGGAGGCCCCTGCACTAGGAGCTGTGCCACAGAGTCACCTTGGGGCTTTCCCTGCCAGCCCACCTCCACCCTTCCCTCCCTATTGGATGGTGCTTTTAAATCAGTCACCCCCAGATCCTGCAGCGAGTCGAGTGAGTGAACCCTCTTGGAAACTGCTCTTGCAGAGGGCGGGGAATCAGGTCCTGTCTGCACAGTCATGGAGAGGGTAGCTGAGCGCCAGCTCTGAGCACCTCGAAGTCACATTCTGTGATTACAGCCCTCCTCTGGGGGCAAAGAGAGGGATGTGGAAGTGTCTGTGGCAGAAAACACTTGGGCACGGTAGGAAGGACATATAAATGCCTCCAGGTGGAAGGAGCTGGAAGAAACAGAGGCAGGGGGGAAAGGGAGGCAGCCTTGGCTATTGGTATTGGCTGTGAGCACCTGGCAGCCTGAGGGACAAGGATTCTGAAGGCAGAGTGACCTCTGCCCCCACCTGCCTGACCGACATGCCTGATGGCCGGTGCTCTCTGTCTTGCTTCCTAGGTCGTGATGAGGACCTGAGCATCTGCCTGCTGACAACCCCGGCCTAAAGTGACCATGGCCCCCCGCAAGAGGAGCCGCCATGGCCTGGGCTTCCTGTGCTGCTTTGGGGGCAATGACCTCCCTGAGATCAACCTCCGGGACAACCACCCTCTGCAGTACATGGAGTTCAGCAGCCCCATCCCCAACCCGGAAGAGCTTAATGTGTGCTTCGCAGAGCTGGTGGTGAGTGGGTGAGGGGCAGATGACAGCGGGGAGGGGGCAGATGGACAAGCAGAGTGGAACAGAGTGAGAGTCCATGAGCCGGGTCTCCACCTCTCAAGGGTCCTCTTGGGACTGAGGCAGTACCCCTAAAACACTTCAGCAATGCGGAAAAAGTCTCTCACTGGGGTGGGCACCATGMAATGGTCCCCAGAAGAAGAGACCCACCTCCTATTCCCTGGGAATTCTCAGTCACATGGTAGCAGTTGGGCTGTCATAGAATGGAGCAGATCCAAGTTTTTGTGAAATTAGGCAGTGAAGAGTGTCAGAGAACATCAGAACCCTCAATACCTTTCTCTCTTCTGCTTTCTGGAGTTTCCTCTGGGCCTCTTGACCTCAGGAGAGGAGAAAGAACAGAGTGGGATTCTTTAGGCAAAACTGGGCACCTTGGAACAGGCTGTGCGTGGCAAAAATATGGAGGTAGAGGAGTCTATATCACACCCAGGATCTGAATCAGGTCTGGGATGACTAAGCCCTACGTCTAGTTGGGTTAACCACAGGTGTCATTCCTTCACATTGGCACCAGACCTTCCTGACCCCTGGCAGTGCCCATCCAGACCAGAGGCTCAGCCTGACATTGTGAGGATGACCACACAGAGATGGAAGAGGATGGAAGCACCATTCCTTTTGGAGGTTCCATGATGAACCAAAGCCTGCACACCAGGAGAGGCCCAGGCCTGAATCCCGACTCAGGGCCTGAAGCCCAGTTGCTCTGCCACTAGCTCTTGGTTCCTTATGCTCATGGCTGGCCAATAGTCAAGACAGAAAAATGGTACAGGTGGTTTGGAATGTGACTTACACATGCTTTTGCTACGAGATAARGCTGGTGGAGGCAATCCAGTCCCACACACGAGACCCTCTGGGTTATCTGAAAAAGGTGTCCAGCCTCCTTCTCACCTCAGGAAAACTCATTGTTTCCAGATTTATTCCTTTCTCCAGAATAGGATCGGGGAACAATCATTTGCTAGTGTAAGTAGTGTTTGGAGTCTGACTGATATTAGGGATGTTTTCCTAATGTAAGTWTGGAAAGGATGTGACAAGAATTGTTCCCCTTTTGACCCTTTTTGTCCAACAAGTATTTACTGAGCATCTTGGGTGGGCAGGATCCTCACAAGGTACTTYAGCAAAAGCAAGGGTGACTTGGACAAGGCTTGCCTGCAAGGGGATGGGTGTCAGGTAGCCATCAAAACAAATGAAAAACCTTTTCTTAGAGAGACTGCCATGCTCTGGGCCCTGCAGGGTCCCAGGTATTTAGAGATGGTCTGACAGACAGGGCCCTGCATCCAGAAGGGGAAGTCATCCTGGGAACACTGGTCTGGAAAGCAGTGACAGAGTGGTAAGCCAGGACGGGGAGCACTCGGGGGCCGTGGGAGCTTTAGTCTAGACAGGGAGGTCACAATGGCCTCCGTGAAGCAGCAACATTTCCATTGAGACCCCAAAGCCGAGTGGGGTTAGATAAGTGGATGGGGAGGTAGAATAGAGGCTCCTTTGAAGAAGAAACAGCCTAAGTGAGAGTTTCAGGTTAAAATAGAGCTAGGTCCTTTTGGGAGGCACAGCAAAAGTCAGAACAACTAAGAATTTGGGGCTGAATTCTAGGGTATCCTAGGAAATCCACCAGGTTGAGCCCCAGTGGAAATCCACCAGAGGTTTTGAGGTGATCCCATCTGCTTTCTTAAAAGACCATTCAGGGTATCTGTTGAAGAAGGGGCTTGTGCTGATCATTAGGGGGCTGTTGTAGGCCACCAGGCTAGAGGCAGTGGTGGTTTGGACCAAAGTGTCATGAGGAAGGAGAATGGCAGATTTAGGAGGGATTTAGAAGGAAGGGTAAAAGGCAGGAATCATGGACACCCAGGCTGCTGAGATGAGGAGCTGGGTGGGTGCTGGGTCCCTGCACAGGATAGATATACAGGAGAAGGCTCAAGCTTAGGGGACTGAGATGACGAATTCAATTTGCTTTTCTCTCTATGCTTCAGTTTCCTTATCTGTAAAATGGGTTGTTGCATGATTCAAATAAATGAATAATAGCACTTTCAACAGTGCCTGGCACATGGTAATGTGACTTATGTGTACGAGAAACCTGAAGAGCACCAAAGGGGAAAAGTACTGGAGTCAGCTGGGTCTCAGGATCTGGTGGGCTGGAGGAATAGGTCTATGAGGTGTTGGCCTAATAACCAAGTCCTTGGGAATGAATGTGAAGCCCGGAGGGAGAACAGAGAAGGACACTGTACCATGTCTCAAGCTTTTGAAGATAGAAGAGACATCATCAAGGGAGCCTGAGAGTGTGACTGCTGAAGGGACCACAGAACAGGTTCCATAAGGAGGGAGACGTCAGCAAAGTCCCATGCAAAGTCCCATGCTTCCCGGGCTGAGCAGAAAGGCCAAGAGATGCCCATTGATGGAGAAATGGAGACTGCTGGCAAGTGCCTGAATACCCAGAATGCAAGACCAGACGTAATCCAGGAAGGGAGCGATGGTTCCTACCGGGGAAGGTCAGAGAAGGCTCGCTAGAGGAAGCCGGCGTTGAGCCGTGGGAGTCATAACATGGTCCTTAGCATGGTTGGTAAGAAGAGGAAGGACTGTCTAAGAAGAGGAACAGATTTGAAGAAGGGCTGAGTTTGTGCTGGAAAATGTCAGGTTAGGTACATGCAAGTGTCATTTTCTTTGGTTTCTGATCCTGACCGTGGAAAGGAAACCTCCAACAGGGTTCTGATGATTTTTTCCTTTTATTGATTTTATTTTTTTAAATACACGACAGCGGAATGCATTACAATTCTTATTACACATATAGAGCACAGTTTTTCATATCTTTGTATATAAAGTATGTTCACACCAATTCATGTCTTTATACATGTACTTTTTTGCATTACAATTCTGATTACACATATATACCACAATTTTTCATATCTCTGTATATAAAGTAGGTTGACACCCAATTCGTGTCTTCCTACATGTACTTTGGATAATGATGTCCATCACATTCCACCATCCTTGCTAATCCCCTGCCTCCTCCCTTTGACCAAGGACATTTCTGGGATATGGAGAGAACCCTTCTAGGTGTCAACCTTTGTTTGACACTAAATCTGCAAAAGTCRTTAGTTCCCAAAGCAGGTGAACTGATGGGCGTTATTTCACATTCTCATTGTACGCACGCACCATCCAAATGACAGCCACAGGCCACATGCAGCTACTGACTGGTCTGAACGGCATGAACTATCAAGGAAAATCCATACTGGATTTTGAACACTTAATTTGAGAAAAGGAATATAAAATATTTTACTGATAAATTTTTATATCAAATACCTGTTGAAACAGTCATGTTTTAGGTGTATTGGCTCAAAGATGTATTTGAGTTAACTTCACTTATTTTGTCTTAAATTTTTAATGTGGCTAGAACATGTTTAAAATCTATATTGCCCATATTATATTCCTATTGATAGTTCTGGTCTAGAAGAAGGAAAGTYTTAATTGTTTTCCCTTGAATGGAAGTATCCAGAAACGGTTGTAGATGTTGAGATTTAAGACCCTTAAACTACCTTAGTTTTGCTTTCCCTGTTGCATTTGAAAATATCAAGTGTATTTAGTAGTATTATGCTTTGTTATCTTCTTGTGAGTTTTGTTTTTGATTTTTAAAATGTGCACAATTTCATTGAATAGCACACCATGTTCCCAGTAGCCTGTTAACTGTTATCTTTGATGAGCCCTGGGGTTGCTGATGAATTATAGGAAAAGAAACTTCAAAGAGAGCTTTTGTAGGGACCACCCACCATAGCAAATCTTTAAACTCACCCAAACTACTACAGAGTAACCCCCAAATGTGACAACTGCAGAAGCTTCCAGTTCTACTTTCCAGAAATGGTGGGCCCACCTGGAGGAGGCCCCAGCCTTGTGCATGGGCAGCCCTGTGGTGGAGAGGCTGCTTCTAGTGGGCACTCCCTCCAGGGGAAGTGGATCAGGGCTGCCCTTGATGTAGCTTGCCCTCTGCTCAGCCCCTTGTCCTCACCTGCTCTCCTGGGCCCCTGCTGGAACCCACACGGAGGTTGGGAAAGCCAGAGGTTTTCTGGGGGAGAGACTCAAAAGGCAGTAGATTTGAAGAACAGGGCAAGCATCTGAGAGAGAGGCAGGGCTTGCTCTGTAATTGCCCCTCTCTTTGTCCAGCCTTGTCCTGTGATGTTGGCAAGTATAGGAAGGCTCTGAGCAGGAAGACCCRAAACCCTGGACAAGAGGATTAGGGAGCTTCAAAGTAGGGCCAGCGAAGGGCAGGAAATGGGGTGAGCTGGAGGAGGAGAATGGACTTGTCCAGATAAGCCAGGGGTGGACAGGAAGTAAGGGAGTGTGAGTAGAAGTACAGGCTGGGTTGGAACAAGGGATAGGGAAGAAATTCCCCATCTTATCTTTGGTGTTCTTTGGGAGAAAGATAGTAGGCCAAGGCATAGGTTTGGGGGCCTTCTGATTTCCGGTAGKGCTGAATATTCTACTCTCAACCRCCGCTGGGTTTCAGACATGATTTTTCTTATTGCCTTTGCAGGATGAATTGGATCTCACAGACAAAAACCGGGAGGCTGTGTTTGCACTGCCCCCCGAGAAGAAATGGCAGATCTACTGCAGCAAGAAGAAGGTGACCCCCTTTCTCACCCTTCCAGCCRCATCCCGGGGCCACAGCCAGGGCCAACTCTTGATGCCTTAGTCAAACATTTGTTCAACAGATAGTCTTTTGAGCTAGCGCCCTTCTAGGTGTGGGAGGAACAACAGGCAAAAACAGAAAAAAAAAAAAAAAGGCTTGGGTCACATGTCCGTCCTTGGTCTCCTCACTGTGGTCCTTCCTTTTTTCCTTTAAAGAAGCTGTGGGTGTCTTGCCTTTGCCCTCCCTACAAAGGCCAGTGCCAGGCTGCATTGGGTTTCCCCTCTTTCTGCTTCCCAGCGTTCTCTCCTCTGGCTCTGCAGCCCCTAGGTTCATCTCCTCCTCTCCTAATCTCTCTTGTCTCCTTTATTTTAGCTTTTCTGTTTCTTTTACTCTCTATTTTTCTTTTCTTGGTTCACTTTTCTCCCCTCCCTCCATTTTTCAGACTGCAGTTTCGGCTCCTTTTCCCAACCTCAGAGTAKGGGTATTTGGGGTGAGGATCTGGATACTCCTCCATCCCCTGGAGAAGACAGGCARGTCCAGGTGGGGTCTGAGCTGACCCTCTTTCCACTCCCCATGCCCATTCATAGCTCTTAGTTTACTCTTCCTGGTCAGGATATTTGTCCCATCCCAGGGCTCCATACTGAGCCAGGCTGACCKTATCATGGCAGGTCATAGAATCATAGACCCTTTCAGAACTGGAGSGAACCTGAGAAACAATCCTCTCAAGTCCTTTATTACATAGGAGGCAGGGGAGGCCTAGAGAGACCATGGGCTCACMCAGTCACCCACCAGTGACAGCACAAGGCCAGACCACTGCTGGGGACAAAAGAGCCTCAAGGCACACACTGTAAGACTTTGTTTAATATTGCACGACCTGTTTATGAAACACCTGCAGAATACAATAGTCAGTGTTTACTAACATAAGAAAAGCAGGCCTTGAAAAAGCTCAAGTCTTGGAAGAAAGGAAAAGGAAGGAGGAGAAAATAAACTTTAGGAGTAATTCATCATATTTCATGAGTCTCCACTTTCCAAATTGATTACTTCAGAGTTCCCTTAATATAATCTCTTGTGTAGCTCAAGTAAAAGATTTGTTAAAATATAAGGGCATCTCTCGGTACTTTGCAAACCAAATTGTGTGTGATTTCCTCATCTACTCTGACACCTGTTTGTCTTCCCACATGGCAGTTTCTCTGTCTCGCCACCTGTCTTAGCCTCAAGATTTCAATAACTCTACCCAGTCCTCTTAACCATCCCCCACCCACAGCCTTCTGTTAGATGCCYGCCCCCAGGTTCATTACAGACAGTTCTATAGAACGTGTTCCACTCTTTCTCCAGAACTGGACTGTTAGAGCAAAGGCAGGATGACTTTTTACTCAGTACCTTCCGGCCTCACCATTGACTGGCATTCAGTAGGTATTCATCAAATACATATGGGATGGATAGAATAATAAGCCAGCAAATGCAAGAAACTGTATGTTTGCTGATACCATTGTTTTTGCTGGTGCAATTCCTCCCCAAGGTAGAAGACGGAATATTTGGCATTTACTCATGAAGATTTTAACACATAAAGCCCTATGAGGTCACTAAGACCAGAACAGGGCAGGTTTTGCACTGGTCTAAAATTTGCTTGAGTAGGCAGAGCTGAGGGACCAGGGTCAGCTGGCAGCTGGCAGAAGGGAGGGTTTGTCAGGGAGGTTCTGGAGGAGGTGAGTTTTTATGTAGATTTGCAAGCAGGAGATTACAAATCTTGACAGCAGATGAGAAAAGTATCCAAAGTGACCACGGCACAGGGACAGAAAGGAACAGGATGTGTGTCACGCCCAGAGGCAGATCCATTTGGCTGGAGAAGGCTGGATTTCTTTCAACATTAATGGCTTTTGAACTCCACCATGCTATCTCAAGCAAGGGGAAGAGCTAAGCCTTTCTCTTAGGGGTTGAGAGCCACCCGAAGGTCCTCTGCACTGCTGCCCAGCTGGCCAACCCACTGCATTCTGGGAAGTTTGAYAGTGAATGAATCACAGGCAGAGAAGGGGCTCCTAAGCCTTTCTAGAACCCATGGTCTTGGGAGTTGATTTCTTTTTTGTAGTTGCTATTTATCGAGTACCTCCTGTGTGTTTTGCACTACACCAAATGCTTTATATCATTATTCCCAAACTGAAAGACCAAATTTCTAAATTTCCAGACTGCCATAGACCAGTACTGTTGTATGATATAAGAATGACATCAGCCAAAAATGAAAGATGTGCAAAATATAGGCAAAAATTTGTATTAGACTCAACAGTCATAAAATTACATTTTATTAAGTGTAGGTAGAACAGTTGTAGCAGAAGAAAAGAGTTTTAAAAAACAGTACATGCCCTCCATTGGAAGTGTCTGCCTGCATAGTTTCTGCCCGTGTCATTGGTGGGTCACGAGATTCAATGTTTGTTGTCTGATTTTATCAAGGAAGAAACAGGAGCCTGGGAGGTTTTGCATCTTGCTCTAGTCACCCACTGTGGTCAGGACTGGAACATTCCCTCTGTTGATTTCAAATAGAGCTCAGGGTCACAGGCCATGGGTCTTGCCAGTTGATCCATACCATCCTTCTTCTTGTTCCAGGAGCAAGAGGACCCCAACAAACTGGCAACCAGCTGGCCCGACTATTACATCGAACGCATCAACTCCATGGCTGCGGTGAGCGGCTGCTCCTCCACTTCTGTCTCTCCACCTGGGGAGAGGAGGGGAGAGTCAGGCCCCTCCGTTCACTCCGTGTCCTACTCCCTGAGGTGTAGGAGTTTCCCATTATTCCTGAGAACTCATCCTATGTCCACCCCTCCTCTGTGCGACTTCAGAGTGTCCCAACTAGTTAAGCATCTATTAACTCATCTGGATGTCACCCAGGCTTGGGAAGTAGGTTGGGCCAGTCATTCTTCCTATTTCACAGAAGAAGATAGCGAAGTCCTAGACCAGAACCTGGGTCCCCTCAGACCCTCTGTCTTAGTAAACTAATCCCTGAGGCCTCACGCTTCCTGAGGTGAGGGTGCCCCTGAGCCAAGCCTGGGTTGGGGGACAGGTGGCCCAGGGTGACCAGTTGACCAGTTATCCCCTCTTACCTGCTGGCTCCTCAGATGCAGAGTCTGTATGCGTTTGATGAGGAGGAGACAGAGATGAGGAACCAGATCGTGGAAGACCTGAAGACGGCGCTGCGGACACAGCCCATGAGGTGACTTGGCCTCTTTCCTTCCTCACTGGCACGMCCCTGCCCAGGTGGCCCCCTGATGTGCTCTGCTCCTATGCTGGCCCCTGCCAGATCTACCTGGCATTCCTAGACTCTACCTCACCCTTTCACTTCCAGCTCCGTCTCCCCTCTGCTGGGTCGCTGCGAGCTGCTGGGGTGGGGGTGGGGGGAGTAGAACCCAGGAGAGGTTCAGATAAGCCTCGGGTCCTCAGGAGCTCTCTAAAGAGGGATCAAGGGCAGGCCCTTGGTATTTGGAGGAAGAATAGAACGGGAGGGTGGCCAGATGGACAAAGCACGTAAGGAAGGACTTCCTAAGGATGAGGGGACAGGGTGAGTGCCCCAGTCAGGGAGAAAGTGGGTGTGGGTTAAGAATGACTTCAACCAGGATCGGGGGATATAGAGGCAATGCATGAGCTTTGACCATCTCTGAGTGGAAGCCATGGGGCTGGAGAAAGGAGATGGGTGTCTCAGGTGCCATAGGAGGACTCCTCCTACCCTCCCAGTGTATAGGGCCCCAAAAGAGCTGTAAAGGGTTCCTTGCCTTTGGCTCTGGATATATCCAGGCATGTGCGGGAACTAGCTGGTGAGAGATGATTGTTAAATCTTCAGCAACAGTGCACACTAGTTGTTAAACCTATTAATTATATAAACTTATGATTAATTAAATTATATCAAAACCAATACTTGAAACATATCACTCTCTAATTCTTTTTCCACTTTGCTATTACATATGCTCTTCACTATTGAATTTACACTCTTGAATTTATGCCCTTTGTGTGTGTGTGGTGGAATCACKGCTTAAATGAGACATCTCTTTCCAACTCCATGTTCAATGACATTACCACGGATAGTTTGAAATCAGCTACGCTAGGAGCATTTATGTCATGGAAATGGGCAAACAGAACAATCAGGTCTTTTCTGCTCTCTCTCTCTCTCCCCAAGGAGCTAGTTATTTAGCACATGGCAACCATCCACTCGGGGGTATGTATGCATTGTCCTGGTCCTGGTTGAGCTCTCTGCCCTGGGACCTGGAAACAGCCTCCAGGAGGGTGGAGCATCCACATCCCTGTGTCCCTCTGCGAGGGTGGGGGTCAGTCTGGGAAGGACATGCAGGAAAGAATGAGGYGCTCACAAAGTAAAGRGGTCGAGGGGAGTTGCCAAGTTCGTCCACTTCAATTCATTTTTAATTTCCTTAATAAAATCTAGATTACAAAAGTTACACGTAGTCATTGTGGAATTTTGAGCATACAGAAGAGCATCTATTAGAAAAAAGGAAAAAATTRTCTATTATTAATTCGAGAGCATATTCTAGGCATATTTGCACCATAGGTATAATACAAAATACCTACAAATATATTCATCTATTGATTATAGACAGTGTTCCCTAAGCTCAATTTATAACCATTTCCTCAGTTCATGGGGTATTATTCTACTGTATGAAGAACTGTAAACCTTCTTTTGTGTGTTGCCTTGGAGTCTGGCACCCAGATGAAACCTATGGAGTGTTTCTCAGAAATGATGTTTTTWAAATAATAAAAGAGATAAATAGATAGGGTTAAAAATAAACAAATTCAATTGAAATATAGCTACCAATATTAAAAATACATGAGATAGCAATAAATGTGCCTCTTTATGCTTCCCACAGCAATAGCTGGCACCAGATCTGATAACAACCACCATAATCTTGACGTGCTGATGGGTATAAATGATTTTGAGATCCCAGCAAAAACTATAATTTGATATGAAAATAGCAGTGATTTTTTTGGGTGACAGAGTCRCATATTCTGCTAATAGCACTCTCTTTGATAGCCTGCACTCATCATTGAGGAAATGCTTAATTTCAGTTAGAGGTTTTCAAAAATAAAAATGTGATTGTCTTTTCCCCTCCCAGTGCTTGGACCTCTGAATGCTATCTATAGACTCTTTGCAGAAACACAAACTACAGGTTAAGAAACCCTGAACTAAATAGATTTTAATGTTTTCCGCTAACATTCATGATAACTTTGCTATTTTCTTGAGGATCTCCTGAAATGTAGTTTTCCAGCCTTGGTCCCTTAGCTCAGTGAGTCTGATGGCCCCTCTATATTAAAATCTTTCTTGTTCTCTGATTAAGTTCTTCTAATTCCCATTCTCATTAGAGATGGATCTTTAGGTTTGCTGGCCATAATAATTGTGATCATTCCTTCACCTCCATCCCATTTAAACTATGCAATTGACAGTCAATGCTATGCAAATGCACACTATTTAAAATGCCAATAAAACATGAGTTTTCTGTGAGGACGATAGGGTTTCAGTGCTTTGGGTAAACTTTATAAATGAACCAAGCAACTGCTGTAGATGGGACGTGGTCCATGGCAGGACACAGGTCACAAGGTGGCTATTTGCAAAATGTACACAGAATGACCTTCAGGATGCCTCTTTTGCTAACACCTCTGGCTGATAGGTTTGTGACCCGCTTCATCGAGCTGGAGGGCTTGACCTGTCTGCTAAATTTCCTACGGAGTATGGACCATGCCACCTGTGAGAGCCGCATCCACACCTCCCTCATCGGCTGCATCAAGGCACTGATGAAYAACTCCCAGGGGCGAGCTCACGTGCTGGCCCAGCCCGAGGCCATCAGCACCATTGCCCAGAGTCTGCGCACAGAGAACAGCAAGACCAAGGTGGCCGTGCTGGAGATCTTGGGCGCTGTGTGCCTCGTCCCTGGAGGCCACAAGAAGGTGCTGCAGGCCATGCTGCACTATCAGGTGTATGCAGCAGAGAGGACGCGCTTCCAGGTGAGAAGTGTGACTACAGGTGGTGGTTGGTGCCAACAGGGTGGGCAGAGGTGACATATACTGGTGGCAAGGGACAGTAATGGAAACTGGAGGAAAGGAGACATCATGGGCGGCATGCTCTCTTGGGGAAGGAAGAGAGGACTGGGAACCAGAGGGCTTACTTCCAAAGACATGATGGGTGTAGCTGGGGAAATGGACTGGTCTCCATGACACTGTGAGTTCCTGGAGGCTGGAATATTTGTTTACCTCATCTTTGGGGTTCTACATGCCTGCGCCTAGTGCCTGGCTCATGGTAGGGTCTCAGTCAAGAACTGAATGTAGTGCAATTGCTGGGGTCAAGATTCTAGGCTCAAAGCCTGGACCAGTGCCTACTGAGGGGACAAGGGACAGCACTGAGCCATGCTATTCTCTTTTTTCTCTCTGACCTATCCAGAAAAGTAGAAATTAATGGACAATGTATAAAGTATCTCAGCACAGTGCCTGGCACAGAGCAGGCCTCAAACTTTGTGACTTATGTGTCAGAATAGGCTCTTGGTTTATTCTGTCAGCAAACATTTTTGAGTACCTGCTCTGTGCWGAAAGTAGCCCGTAACCCTTTACGGAAGATGTAAAAGGAAGGGAAGGTAGCATCCATGCCATCRGGAGCTGGGGAGGGAGTCAACACGACTACAGCCGGGATCTGGCCCTGCAGCCCTGCTCAGCAATAGAAACTGAGCCTGAGGGCCTTGCGGGCGGGAAGGCAGGTGGGGCACAGACGGGCATGGAGAGGCACGGAAGTTCCCACCTGAGGTGAGGTCTGGGGTGGTCCCAGATAAGCTGGAGGTATGTGATTGGACAGAGAGAGCAGAGGAGACCTCTAGGGACATCAGGAGCAAAGGGGTGGAAACTGTTCTTGTAGGACCCTGACCCCAGCTCCTGCCCTGTCCTACCTTCCCATCCAGACTCTGCTGAATGAGCTAGACCGAAGTTTGGGCCGGTACCGGGATGAAGTGAATCTGAAAACAGCCATCATGTCCTTCATCAACGCTGTCCTCAATGCTGGAGCCGGAGAGGTGAGGCACCTTGCCCTYGCCTTTGCTGACTTCTGACCCTGGGGTACAGTGTGTGTGAGTGTCACCTTCCTGAGGAAGTGCCATCTGAGAGGAGGGCCATCTGGTCCATGTGCCCGCTACTGCCAACATCACCTTGCAGTTATCTTTAGAACCTATTGTTTCCTTCACTTGGGGCCAAGAAAGAMTAGCTTGTCATGACCCTCACCGTCCCTAGGGCAACACCACGGCAGACCTGGACCGCACGAAACTCACGGTCAGAGGCTCCTCAAAGCTGCTGGAGGACTGTCTGGCTTTTCTTGACTTTGTCTAAACCTGGGAGGGCTCCTGGGGAGTTTCCTGCAGAGGTGGCATGTGCATYATGGGTGTCGTGAACACACTCCCAGCTGGGCTAGCTGGTGATGGCTTAGGTGGTGGGGGATTGTTTATGGGAGGATGTCAAGATTTGACCCTTCTTTCTAGAGCTTTCTAGAAACCTGCTTCTGAATTTCTTTATTTTTTAAAAAATATTTATTCTTTTTCATTTTAGCTCTTTGATTTTCACAATACCTTTATTTTTTACTTACTTATTTTTATGTGRTGCTGAGAATCAAAGCCAGGGCCTTGCCCGTGCTAGGCGAGTGCTCTACCACTGAGCCACAACCCCAGCCCCTGAATTGATTTCTGAGCTGGCTGGTCTTGCTTTTCTAGCACCTTCTATTAGGAGGTATGGTTGCTGGTTGCTCTTCAGATCAAAATGTAATTCTCAGACCATTAAGAAAGCAACATTAGAAGAAATTGAAGAGCAGATGAACACTCCCCCCTCCAACTCTAAGGCAATCAGATGAACCCCATCAAGGTGAACTTGAAGGACAAAAGGGGCAAAGRAAGCAACTGAATGATCTAACTTTTCCCTTTTCTCTGCCAGCATACATTTTTTACATGCAAATATAATGACTGAATTAGGCGAGATAGGACGGGGGAATAATCTGCCCCTGAGATACTGACATCACAGCTCTGTAGGGTTGTCATCCCTTCTGATCAGGAGTAGTCACATCTCRGCAGGTAATTTTCATGAACATCACCTGTACCAGTAAGTTAGTGTTATGACCATTTAACAAATGAGGAATCCAAGGCTTTGCCAAGGCCAAAACACTAGGAAGAGACCGAGTAGAGATTTAACCCAAGGTCTACCTGACTCCTAAGCTCATGCCCAGGTCACTCTGTAGTGCTGCTTCTTGATGCCAAAAGCTAAGAGAACATTGGTAAGGGGCTAGAAGGAAGTGACGTGGGAGACCTAAAAGGAACTGGGCAGTGGGCTTGCTTAGAGGAATAACAAGGTCAAGGTTATCTTGTTCCATCCTGCTTTAGAACCCTGGGACTTGAAGCAGCTCAAGTGARTTTGCTGCAGGCGAGGTGGGATGATGGCTGGGGTGTGGACAAGGGGTCCCCAGGGGATTCTCTTGGGCAGGAGACCAGCTGCTCAATTCGGTGCTGCTTTGGTGACCCCCAGGATAATCTGGAGTTCCGTCTACATCTACGGTACGAGTTCCTGATGCTGGGGATACAGCCTGTGATCGATAAGCTCCGGCAACACGAGAATGCCATCCTGGACAAGTAAGGCCCCAGCCACCCAGCCCCATGGCAAACGGGTGGGGACAGTGTCTCAGTTGGAGATGGCCAGGACCATTGTGAAAGCTGCTCTTCCCTGCCATACCCAGCTGTGTATGGGGCAGGTGTGCCCTAGCCTGTCCCCTGTGCTGACCTTGACTCATCACCTAGTGTATAGGCAGGTGAACCCAGTAGTTCTCAACCATGTCAGCACTGCCCCCTGGGGGACACTTGAAAATATGTGGGACTGTTCTTTGGTTTTCAAGTTGGTTGGTTGGTTGGGGACAAGAACGCTAAATGCCCTGCAGTACACTCCCACTCATCCAAGATGCATATGATAAAGCCTTTGCTGATCAAAGAGAATGGGTGGATTCTTGTGTTTCCAGTGAGTCCCCTCCGGTTCTGTCCCATGAGCACAGGCTATTATTGCACTGGGTCGCAAGGGGGAGAGGATGTCTGGGGAGGAGCAAGCCCGTGTGTTGATGGGGTGGGGAATGAGGGAGACATTAGCTTGAGGGCCGACCTGGGGACAGTAGAAGGACACTGGGAAAGATAGATGGAGGGCAGCAGTTCTTGACTGAGGGCGACTGCATCCCCCAGGAGACCCTCAGCCCTGCCTGGAGACATTTTGGGTTTCACTCTTGGGGGAGGAGCAGTGTGGTCGTGTAGTGGGTAGCAACCAAGATGCTCAACACTTCACAGACATCAGTCTTCCACAGCCAAGGGTAATGGAGCCTAAAATGTCACTAATGTCAAAATTGAGAAATGCTGACCTTAGAAGATAGGACCCTGGGATGACCTCCCTGAAGGAAGGTCATGGGCTCTTATAAAGGGCAGGTATTAGCTTCTATCATGTGGCTTCTCTCTTTTGCCTTAGCCTCACCTGAGTTAAACTTTGAGATTTTGCCAGTCGGGGGAGGTGGATGAAGGGGCTGTAATCCCCAGCCTCGGATGTCCTAGCTGTAATGTCTACCCCCTCTGTTCCCCCATCCTCTCTAGGCATTTAGACTTCTTTGAGATGGTCCGGAACGAGGACGACCTGGAGCTAGCCCGGAGGTTCGACATGGTGAGGAGCCCGTGGGGATGGGGTGATTGCAGCGGGGTCCCAGGCAACCACATAACCACTGCTCCGGGCCCTGTGTTGGGGTGAGTCCAGTGTTGGTTGGGTCCCTAGGGGTGCCACATGGTTGGGTCCACAAGAGTATACCATACTCTTGTGGTATGCTGGCTCTGGTGGCCACACCTGGACATCTGTCCCTAAGGAGACCAAAATGCCACAGAGAAAAGACTGTCATGTTCTTGTATACAGTTAGTCTCAAAATCTTTCTAGGGCTGACTTTCTTCTTGCCTTCTGGAAGTTTCCTGAATCACCTCTCTCCATACCCTAACCAGCTCATGCTTAGCAAACCAAATCATTTTAGCTGTAGCAACTCTGAAGACACACCCCTCCCATGCTTAAACATCAAGTAATAAAATCCCTACCTAAACCRAAGCCGCCTCCTGGGCTGGAGGGTGCTTCAAGGCACCAAGAACTACCCCCGATGTATTTTCACAAAAGCCAGGGATTTTATACATAACAAAGTGGGGGGGGTGGAGAGGAGGAGCATCTTGCCTGTTGTCCACAGCTGGTGAGTAGACCTGGGACTTCAACCCAGGTGGCGGGCCTGTGCCCCGGGACAGGTGCTACCCTGGAGCATCTCTGCCCGCCCCCTTCCTTCCCTTAGTTTGGATCAGTAGTTCTCCAACCAGGGCTGTTTTGGTCACTCCCACCACCCAGGGCACATTTGCTGAAGCTGGAGAAGTTTTTGATTGTGACAACTTAGGGAGGCGCAGGGGAGGAGGCCACTGGTATCTGGTGGGCAGAGATCAAGGACATTGCTGCGCATCCTGCAGCGCACAGGATGGCTCCAACAGCAGGCAGTCATCCAGCCCACGGTGACAACGTCCCTGGTTGAGGTGATTAACCTCCCTGCCCTCCTCCTTTTCTGTCTTTTTAAGTCTCAGCCAGAAGTGTGGGAGAAAAGCTGTCCCGAGAGAGGAGGCAGAGAGGAAGGAAGCAGGGCTTTCTCCCCGCTCTTCTCTTTCTCTGCTGCCTGTCTGTCCCCACTCACCATGCCCCTGTTCCCTCAGGTGCACATCGACACCAAGAGTGCTTCCCAGATGTTCGATCTGATCCACAAGAAGCTGAAGCACACTGAGGCCTACCCATGCCTGCTGTCTGTCCTGCACCACTGCCTGCAGATGCCCTGTGAGTACCCTGCGCTCATGCTCGCCTACTGGGCCTGAGATCCCCCCAGGGCAGGTTGAGATGAGACTTTGGGACCTCTCTGGGCAGGTGAGTCTGTCCACATATCCCTCTGCACTTACCCTTGGGAGGCCAGACTGCATGATGCAACCTCTCCCTTACCTCTCTCCTTGGGGGTCACGATGTCCAGTGTCACCCAGTAGAGGAGCTGGGATTGGGCCTGAGCAACTCTAACATCCTTGTCTACAAAACAGTAGCTTGATCATTGCAAAATCAAATAGCTCTGCTATTTGTTCATGACAAAGGCCATCTTGATTCTCAAAAGAAGTTTTGTGCTTGCAGAGGTAGCTAAGATGTGCCATGAGCATGTTCTTTTTTTTTTTAAGGTTCTATCACTTTTTTGTTTAGTCTTTGCTGACTCTCACCCTAACACCTTTGYCCCTGCTTCTTTATGTATCCCAAATAGCATCTCAGAAGCAGGTGTCTAAGTTCGTAAGATACAGGTGTGTGCAGTGATTGATGAAACTACCAACAGTAACCCCAGGATGCAGGTTGAAATGAGCTTTAACTACACCACTTGGTACTCTAGCTTTTCACAAAGCAGAATATTTTTTTGTATTCCTGTGGCCCAACCTAATGGCCAGCCTACACAGGTATGCTGAATTGGTGGTGGTAGAGGTTTGGTGATCCCAGGGATGGTGTCTACAGATACAATTTATTGTGTGCCAACTTTGGGCCTGACATGACGTGAGGTTCTTCAGCATATCATCCCTGAACCTCAGAATGACCTGAGAACTGTATACTCAGTTTTGCAATTTTGTCTCCATTTTGCAACCAATGGATCTGAGGCTAAACAAGTTCTTCCCTAGAGAATTTTCCTTTCTTTGGGGACAGGACTTTAGGTGAAAAATGTTCTTTTTACCTGGTGAAAAGTAAATGTCACTTGGTAACGCATGTGTTGGTGGGACAGTGGAAAGCAAGACAGAGACAGTGAGCGGGACCAGGAAGTGATCGGTTCTCTAAAACTYAGCTCAGAAGGTCATCAGGGGAGAYGGGGAAGGCCCCAGAAAGCTGGCTGCTTTTGTACCCAGTGGTTCCCATGTCTGCTGTTCCATGGGCAGTGCGCACGGGTCTCTCTACTCTGCCCCCAGATGAGGTTTTGAAGACAATCTGTCAACTCTTGGGTGGAGTTTGAAGTCAGGATTGCATTGGTTGACTTCTGTTGGGGGTCTGTGGAGATGAAGTGCGTGGCCTCAAGGACCAGGAAGACCTAGGGTCTGTCATGTCGAGCTGGACTAGGACTCGAGAGGATGGGAGAGGGGCCTTGTGAAGTCAGGCACAGTGTATCATGCCTTTGCCTTCATAGTTCAAGGTCACCTCAGCCAAGAAATCCTCCTGGGTTCCATTAACCACTTCTTTGACTCACTTTGAGGTTCTCTCTGTGCACACCTGTAATCAGTTTCATCTTCCTCCGTAGAGCAATCACATAGATAATCCAAAAATCTTTTTAAAAAAATCTTCCCCCGAAGACTTCATTATTTAGAGCATGTAATATTTTAGAACAGGTGCTTCTCATAGATAATGTAAAAAGCAATTTACATTCTGAGAGCATAGTATGCCCGGGGTCCCAAGAGGGAAGAAAGGCAGCCAGGAAGCATTTCATAGAGAGAGAACTACGTTAGCAGGGTTGATGGTTCACAGAAGGTCCACTGCAGGTCATCAGGTGACAGCGGGTTCGGGGGTCTCCATTCTCACAGCGGCATGGCACCTTCCATCAGACTAGGAGCTTACCGTGCAGGAGGAAGGGGTGCCTCACCAGCAGAGCCTGGGAGGTCCCTCTGGGGCCGTGTCTCCAGGAGCTCCAGGGCTGCGTTACAGATATGGTACTGTCTTCCCGCAGACAAGCGGAACGGAGGCTACTTCCAGCAGTGGCAGCTCCTGGATCGAATCCTCCAGCAGATTGTCCTCCAGGATGAGCGGGGTGTAGACCCTGACCTGGCTCCACTGGAGAACTTCAATGTCAAGAACATCGTTAACATGTGAGTCGTGGCCGGCCTTTGATCTGTCTCTCTCCCACTCTGGGTCTCACCAGTGCAGCCTCCRCTCCCTCTCTCCATCCAGACACCCCCAGGTGAGCAGCATTGTTCAGTCGAACTCTCCAGGATAAAGGAGAAGCTGCACATCTGAACTGTCCAGTGCAGGAGCCGAATGTGGCTATTGARTTCTTGACCTGTGGCTAGTGTGACTGAGGAACTGAATTTTAAATTTGAACAGCAACATGACATGTGGCCAATGATTACCGTCAGGCAGCACAGGTGTGTAGGTCGTGTTCTCGACTCTCAAAGACCCTGTGTGGGTTGGATGGAGGGGTTATTGAAACAAGTCCACCCAGCGCTGGGCAGGAAACTGTGTCACATGGGCTACCTTCCACCTTCCAGMTTGTTTTTAGATGGCCCATGAGCTAAGAGTAACTTTTGTATTTTAAACACAAACACAAGAATATGTGACAGAGACTGGACATGGTATGTAAAAACCTAAAATATTTACTCTGGCCCCTTACCGAAAGTTTGCCCACCACTGACAGAGAGCATGGCCATTTGACCATGAGCCTGTTGGATGAGGTGATCAGAGCCTGAAACCATCTGGCTTATATTTTACTGACCCTGGATATAGAGGAATACATAGAATCTAAATTTATGCCTGTTAATTAATAAAATGACCTTAACATGCTAATTATTTTTTTCTTTTGTACCAGGGATTGAATATTCAGGGAACTCAACTACTAAGCCACATCCCCCATTTTTTTTTTTTTTTAATTTTGAGATAGGGTCTTACTAGGTTGCTTACACTCTCGCTACATTGCTGAGGCTGGCTTTGATCTTGCAATTCTCCTGACCTAGCCTCCTGAGCCGCTGGGATTACAGGCATGCATCACCATGCCTAGYTAACACACTGATTTTTAATTTTAAACTTTTACTTAACTTTGGGTGATTCTGAGCCAGTTATTCTTAAGGAGATAAATTGGCTCTCATCGAATCATTATGTTGCTTTCCGATGCCATGTAGAATATGAATTCTGAATATTGTTTTCCTTTGCACGATTCATCGGATATTGATTTAGTTAAAACCTGAACTGGTATGTTGGGCCAGGGCAACTAGTAAAGTATCAAAAGGCAGCTTGTTTTATTTTCTGCTAATTTTTTTTTACACCATCAGAGGGGAAGCTTTTCTACTACCAGAGAATGACAACTCATGAGGTCTAACAAAGGCTTTGCTCTTTCTGGGGCAGTGGAAGTCCTAAGATCACGTTAAGTTGCTGCGGCCGGGAGGGCTAGCCCTAGGTGTAAAAGGACTTCTGTGCTTGATAAGGCTTTCAGTCTCTCCCCTTCCATGACTGGGGCCTGGGGAGGCTGAGATGTGTGGGTGAAAGATAGTTGGCTTCTTTGATCTATTCCATTTCTCTCCTAATTCCTTCTATTTCCCACCCCTCCTTCCACCAGCTAGTCAGTTTCTGACCCTTTAGAGGCAGCCTTGGGGCAAGAAGGAGAAAGGGAAAAGGTCATTATTGATTGATCAGGCAACATCTTCCTGCTCTCTGAGCACAGCTCAGGCATCAAGATGTCACGTGTTCTTGGGATCTTCAGTAGCCTCTGGCTGGGTGCTTCTCACTGCAATAGCCAGCTTGCAGCCATTCGGGGGTTTCCCCAGCTCTCTGTCTGGCTGCTTCCAGCCCTCCCATCAGCCCCTGTGTCACTGGCTGTCCTGGGCACATCGACTCACAGTGTGGACGTTCCCAGTTTCCTCCCAGGTGGACCCTTGGGCAGGACTTACAGTGGCTACAGCCCAATTCCTCCCTGAGGCTCATGTCTGGCTCATGGGCAATTTTTACACCTTTCATGGCAGGAAACCTAGGAGTGCCAGCAGCTCCCAGCTCATCAGCCTTTCCTGATCACTTCTCCTCCACCCACTGGATTTCCTGGGTCCAAGCCAGAACCCCGTCTACTCTGTCTCCCTCCTTTTGTCAGGGAACCTGGGCCCAAAACTCATGGGCCCAGAGAAGACCCTTTCCTGGATGGTGGAGGAGGAGGTAGCATCCCAGTGACCACAGCAATCACTGCAAAGAAACCCCATCACCAAATCCTACCCCTCTCTATACCCTGTCCCTCTTTCTCTCCTTGATGTGGTTGAGCAGTACAAAAGTCGTGGATCTAACTGGCTCACACATTGACATTCACAAAACAAAAGACTGTGGGATCTCACTTTGCATTTTAACCCTCATATATCTTGATGTCTAGGTAAAAGCTTAATTCTGATACCTTGTGACAGGAGTCTGACATGAATGAGGACATCCTGTATTTTAGATGTGTCCCTTCTCCACATACTTGTTCTGTGTTTGGGGGGGTGAGCAGTTTCTCTTGCTGTTACACATTGGTCTTTGGAAGCCTGCACCATGGTAGGGCTAGCATTTCTATCTCAGATGCACAGGCCTATTTCTACAAAGGGATACAACTAAGGAAAGCATGAGATGCAGTCCTAGTTCTGCCATGGGTTAGCTGTCATCCCCATCTCTGTTCTCTGAGCCTCAGTTCCTTCAAAGGCTTAGCTTATAAGGTGTCTCCAGGTCCTTCCGACTCCATGTGAGGACTGGGCAGGGACGGAGTCCTGGACAGAGATGGGAGAAGTTAAAATTCCTGCCTCCTCGACGTGGCTAGGCAGTTTGGAGATCGGGGTTCATGAACACAGGGCCTGTCTTCTGGGAGCTGTGAGTGCTGGGCAAGGATCCCATGGCCCCTCCCCTTCGTCCCCCTCCTCACCAGGCTCATCAATGAGAATGAGGTGAAACAGTGGCGCGACCAGGCTGAGAAGTTCCGGAAAGGTGAGAGGTTCTGCCCGAGCCTGCCGCGCTCCCCACCCCCAGCCCCGCCTGGGACCCCATCTCCTGCCAYGGAGAAGGCTGCAGACCCACACCCCCTCCTCCTCCTCTCTGACCCCACCCCCATGCCAGAACACATGGAGCTGGTGAGTCGGCTGGAGAGAAAGGAGCGGGAGTGTGAGACCAAGACGCTGGAGAAGGAAGAGATGATGCGGACGCTGAACAAGATGAAGGACAAGCTGGCCCGAGAGTCCCAGGAGCTGCGTCAGGCTAAGGGACAGGTGGCAGAGCTGGTCGCCCAACTCAGTGAGATCTCGGTACGTGGTCACTCTCCTCCCTTTGATGTGGCTCAGCTGAGACCCTAGGCTTYGGGACAGGGTGGGCAGAGTAGGCATGGGGAAGAGCCGAGGCCCCCAAAATGAAGGAGAAAAGAAAGGGGGACCTCAGGTCAGGACCCAAGAGACCCCTGAGCCTGTATGTGTGCCACCTTGTGTTCATTAGAAACACAATGCCCCTTGCTCTGGATGACATYATCCCAGGAAACGCCCTTAGATAGGAAAGTGCGGGTAGGATATCTGCTCCTCCTTACCCTGGCAGCTGGATGTCCTTGTGCAGTCTGTAGCACGGACAACTGTATGCACCAACCCAGCTGCTTTATTGTGATGACTGTGACTGATTTTCCAGTGTCTGTTTGACTGTGTGGGAGGTAAGAGCAGGATTTGGGGTCTAGGATAGATGGAAATTAAGTAAAGAAGGAAATGGTGGTGGGAACTGGTTGGCATCAATGCTGATGGCTTGAACCTTTTGATTTTTCTGTCTCCTTACAGACGGGCCCTGTATCTTCCCCCCGTCCCCCTGGAGGTCCATTTCCCTTGTCTTCGTCAGTGACAACCAACGACCTGCCTCCACCCCCACCTCCTCTCCCCTTTTCCTGTTGCCCCCCACCTCCACCCCCACCCCCACCACCCGGAGGGCCTCCCACACCCCCCGGCGCCCCACCTTGCTTCAGCATGGGCCTCCCCCTCCCTCAGGACCCCTTCCCCAGCAGTGATGTCCCACTCAGGAAAAAGCGTGTCCCCCAACCTTCCCACCCACTGAAGTCCTTCAACTGGGTCAAGCTGAATGAGGTGAGTGGCCAGGAAGGGGSCAGCTGGTCCATTCTCCTGCAGCCAGTGGAGGTCAGGCCTCTGCATTGTCTACTGCTTGACGTCTTCCCCAGGGTTGGGCTCCATCTTTGGTGGTGTGGTGGGGGGATGGAGYCACAGTGGATACAGATGAGAGGGTTGCTGCAGCTGGCAGCTCACGGTGCCCTGGGGAGAATTCTGCACTGGGAGAGATGCTAGGCGTGTGCTCTGCCCATGTCAACAAAGCTACCTGCAAGAGGAGCTTGTGTGTGCTGAGGGCTGACAGAGTAGCAGAGAGCTCAGGGCCTGGGCCAGGCAGGCTGCTCTGTGGACAAAACAGGGCTGGGCTAGAATTTCAAGGAGAGGGTTGATTTGAGGGAAAGGGTGGGAAATATAGGCAGAACTGGGGCTGAGGTCCAGATCTTGGTGAAGATCAGGGCAGTGTGCACAAAGGACTGAAGAGTTCAATGGGAAGATAGAGCCATTTTGGCCTCCTCCTGGGAGAGCTGCATACAGTGTTCATGTTTCTAGACCAACAGTGAGAGGCCCTCATGAGCATTCTCCACTAATAATCACCAATCCCAGGCCCAGGGGTGGGAGTTGATTCTTTTATGGATTCACAAGCTTACAGATGCCCCGGGTCTCAGTGGACYCCTAATAATTAAACAATGTGAACCAAGTCCTCTCCCTGGTTCTTGAATAATGGCAAATCTTACTAAGAGAACCACTGGTTTGGTCCCCGGGGCAAATACACTCAGGGTAACTGGTTTCTGCTACCCTGGCCATGCCGTGTAGGCACCAACTTGGGGCTGGGGTTCATGGATCTCCTTGGACTCTGTTATAGGGGGCCTGTTGAACTAACTCACAGGGAATCCATAACTTAGCATTGTGTTGGAGTATCAGTGAACTCAGATGGAGACTTAAGGTGGAGGAGAGACTAAGTAGATAAGAGAGATTTCTAAGCCAGGGGTGGTGGACTAGCTGGCCAGCCAGGCTGAGGTCTGCTTTGCCTAGAACTTTCCACTGGGGATATGATAATGATAAAGGTGAGAGATGGCACTGCCCCGTGAGAGCTTCGAATCTGGCAAATTAGGAAGGTGGTCAGGAAACAGCCAGAGATCTTGACCACATGGGTCAGGGGAGAGGTTTGAACCTTGAACCAAACCCCGTTTGACTCAACTACCTGTCGACATCACTCACCTGTAACTCAGTTTCTTCTCTGCAAGGCCATCTCTACGATCCCTTCCACCTCTGGTCTTCTAAACTATGTGGAAACCCACAGCGTGGACACATCCCCCCACAGTCTCCCAGGCCTCCGATCATATCCAAGTGATTGGGTTTTAGAGTCACCTGTTAGCAGCATTTAAAAACAAGACTGTGAAAACTCAGGACAGCTGTGCTGCACAGTTGTGGCCCGTGGATGCTTCTCCACTGGCAGAAAAGCAATGGTAGCTGAGAAGGCAGAGGGCTCTCTAGACCCAAAGCCATGGCTATGTGGGAATGATCACGGTTCATGAGCAGACTCAATGTTTTTTATTGTGGTCAAGGAGAAATAATATTTTTGTCTCCCATGCTTACCAAAAATTTAAGGTTTTAAAAATGTCATTGTAAGTTCTCGTGTGTGCTCATGGTTAAGGAATCCACACAAAGCAGCTGATTTTAGGGGAGGAATTTTTCACTGTTAGGGAGCTTTGGGCTTAGGATTTTCTCTGGGGTTCACTAATAGTAAAGGCCATAGGAATTCCCTAGGGACCCAGAGCAGGCCAGATCATCATTGCCAGACGGGAAGGTGTCATTTTGATGGAGTGGATGCCTGGGAACATTCATGGGAATTGTAGACTTTCTTGGCAGCAGCAGGGTAGAGGGGCATTGAGAAGTATTTGAGAACTTGCTATCCTGTCCCTAATTTTTTAATTGTGCAAAAAGGGCAGATTTTTTAATTGTTTGGGCTTCAGCTTCCTGATCAGTAAAATGAGGGTCTTGCTAATATCCATTTCAAAAGGTGGTTGTGAGGATCACTTGACTTAATATATGTTAAAGACTCGAATAGATACTTGACTCATAGGAAGCCCTAATAATAATACTGTCAGATTAGTTATTAGTGGCACTGCCATGTATGTCCTAAGTATGCTCTCACGATGACCCAGGGAAGTAGGCATCCTGAGACTCAGCTTCCTTTTGTGTGACGTGGGTAAGAAGAGAATCCCTCTGTGCCCACAGACCCATGTGGTGGCAGGGCTGGGGACGTCAGCCAGCCGGCTCCGTCTGTTCCCACAGGCAATGCTCTGTGAGGAAGATGTGATGAAATGTGTTTCTGAGAAAGATAAAGCCCATCTCTAGAGGTCCAGAAGCCCCAGGGATCTAGACTAGAGATGATGGGGTCTTGGCCAGGGGGATGGAAAAAGTAAATTTGGGAATTATGACACAAGATGGGCACCTGGGGGTGATGCGATGACGGTGAGGTCAGTGGTGAATATCAGGAACACGCCGACCTCCCTCTGGCTCCAGACCTCAGGGAGACCTCCAGGAAGAGCCACAAGTCCTTCTGGAAGATGTGAGGGAGCTGGGGTCGGGGGGGGGGGGCTGCGTTTGAGAAAAATGAGAGAGGGCCCAGGTGATCTGTCTGGTGCCTCACGGGAAGTTCTTCCCCATGTTGGACACCCAGCGCTGGGTTCTAGCCCTTTCTTCTTACCCTGATCTCATGAAGAGTGAGGAGGATGGGAAGATTTGCCTCTGTGGGCCTCCCTCTCCCCACCTCCACCCCCAGGCCTGGATTTCTACGGTTTTCCCCCGTCAAGGCGACGATGCTGGGTCACTCGGCGCCCCACGCGGCTGCAGCCAGCGCCCCTCCCTGCTTCTCTGATTCAGGTCCCCCTCCCATCTCTCTCTTCCTCCCACATCCCCTTGCCAGGATCCCAGTCCCTCTCCCCAGTCTCCTTCCTCTACCCCACGCATGCTCCTGGGTATGGATGTACACACACACACTCACTCGCTCTGGTCTTTTCTGCCATGAAAAGAATGCGTCTGTGTTGGGTTTGGCCAGTTGCCTGTATTCCTTACTGCTCTGAGCTTCCCAGCCAGGCATTCCTCACGAGGGTCCCTGGCCTTCAGAAGGCCACAGGAATGTCCCCACCCCCTGACTCTAGCCTAGCCTCCCCCTTTCAGAGTTTAACAAAATAAAAGTGAGTGAAAGGTACGCTTCTCTCTCCAAGCCTGGCTGAGGGGGACGAGGAGGAGGTATTCAGAAGGTCCCCTGGCTGCCCTCTAGGCAGAGGAGGGCGAGGGCGGGAGGTTCTCTTGTCAAGGACAGCATGCTCTGGATGAGCTGGAGATTCCCGGGAGCCCAAGGGTGGAGCATCCTGGAGGGGGAGGGTGCACCACGCTCAAGTCCTCTTAGTCCATACTGCTGTCTCCGAAGCCATGAGCAGAATGTCACGAGACTGCTGGACTGTTTCTGGCTTGGCTAACAGGTCCTTTCCAGACCCCAGGGCAAGGGTCCTACAGGGAGGGTGGTAGTGTCTCAACTGAGAGACATGAGGACAGAAAGTTCTGGGCCCATCCCAGTCATGAAGGTTGGGGACACCTTCCCTGGGTCTGACCACAGGAAGTTGTGGCAAAGCCTGGATGTTCTGAGCAGTCACTACAGGGGCCAGGGTGTCCCAACCTTTGGCATTCGTCCACTTTTTAGTTATCTGGGAGAGGAGGAGGAAGACCTTGGGAAATAAAATGGCCAGCTATCTCATACAGGAAATGCAGCCTGTGCAAAAGCTTTGAGGATCCCAAATCTGTGTGCACTCTGATCCTCCCACAGATTCCAACCAGGGGTGGGGGGCAGCTTCTAGCCAACCCTGCCCTTCGTGAAGAGTCGGCCCATGCAGGTGGCCGGGACCTCTGCTTTCCTGTCTCCTACCCATCACTCAGTGCTTCCAGTGATTTCTGAGATGAGCTTACAGTGGTCCCCATGAAAGGGAAGAGAAGGAAGCTGTCTTGGGGCTCTACCCTGGAGCAGCGTGTTAAAGAGGGGCAGAGGCTGGAGGGGTAGGAACTGACCCCTTTCTGAAGGTCTGAAAGCCTGGCCATTGTAGTAGGTGCCCTTGGGGGACAGATGCATTGGGCATCTTCCTGATGAAGGTGTTAGGTCAATCATAGGGTTTTCTCCCTGTCCTGAATCCTAGGAGCGTGTCCCTGGCACCATATGGAATGAGATTGATGACATGCAGGTATTTCAGATTCTGGACCTAGAGGATTTTGAAAAAATGTTTTCCGCCTATCAGAGGCACCAGGTAAGACCTTGCCCCCTCTGGCCTCTTGGGCCTTAGACTTGTGGTCTTAATTCCACACTCCACACTCTTGGAAGTCAGACCCTCGCYTTCCTCTTACCATCCTGTCCCCTTCCTCTTTACCTCCCTCCCTCCCTCCTCCCCTCCCCGATTGGTTTTTCCTTCTGCACATGAATTCTGAATGATTTTGTTCTTGATGAGATTCCATGTTTGTACTGAGGACCTAGATAAGAATGGGAGGTGTGTAGTCCAGCAAGGGAAATGCCACAATGTATTAGTTATAGACCAAGTGACAAAGTAGTATGTTGTCCATTTCTCATTGTCATCCTGGGGCATTGGAGGTAGAGTCCCAAGGCCTGGCCACCACTGACCCTTACTGTTTGGCCGGGGATTTGGAGACTAACCTAGAAGTTGTGTAACTTTCAAACCACTTTCCCAACCATGTTCTTATCTCCCAACACCCCCACCATGGTCTGTTGAGCAGAAGATGTTAACACTGCAAGGAAGCAGGGGTTCTGGGGTGCTGCTCTATGTCACGTCAGGGGGCTTAAGCTGGACCAGGCCCTCAAAGGCCGGGAGAGGCCCTGGTCTGCTCCACTGGCTCTRTATACACACAGCTGGACAGAGTCTGGCTCTAAAGCTACAAAGTTAGGGGGAGTAGGTTGGTGGCCAAACACAGGACATTCCTGAGGCCTAGGCCTTCGACTGTGCTGGGCACCTGTGGAGAAGCCAGAAGTGCTGATTCTCAGACCCCATCCTCAAGTATCRAATGCGCTTCAGGACATGGGTGGAGGGTCAGGAGTCCGAGTGTAACTAGCACATCTGGGGCCCTTCCCCACCACGTCCAGTTTGAGAACGCCCAGTCAGGCTGGAAGGCCCTTGCTTTCTCTCTGGCCTGCTCCCAGGGGCTGCCTCCTGCTGGGGTTGTGTTACCATCCTCCTGTTCTCTCTGCTCAGTCCAGGCTTCCAGACTGGAGGACTTCTAGTACAGTGATGGGTCTTGGGCCTCCTGGGTCCTGGGCAGTGGCTAGATGCTATGACCTTGCTCCCACAGGTGTCTTACCCTGCTTGGGCCTGTGGATGACCCTTCCGGAGGGCCATCAGGGCCAAGGACATGTGTGACTGTTCTCCCTGGGCTCTGGCCAAAGAGGTGGGGGTGGTGTCAGGCTCAGGCCATCTTGGGATTCTAGAAAAAAAAACAAGTGACTGTTTATTTAGTTGTARGTACCAAGGCATCTGAAGGTCCACTCCTAATTCCAGGAGCCAATACCTGGGTCAGGCTGGCAGGCCCACTGGGAGTGGCCAGGGCCGTGGGGACTGAAGGAGCCCTGCTGAGCCTGGTGCTCGTGGGAACTGGAGCTCCCTGGTGGGTTCTGGGGACACAGGGAGTGTGCAGGAGTGGGTGGGGGTCAGGTGTGATCATCACACACCTCCCCTAGAGTCTTCCTTCAGGTCAGAGTTCTGGCCTGTCCTGTCCAGCCTCCAAGGCTCTGTGGTGGCAGGGCTGGGGACCAGTCAGAAGAGTTGGTGTGAGGTTTAGGACAAGCTGGGTGTGGGGCCCTCTGGTTTGATGAGTTGAGCAGAGTTAAGACTGAAAGACCCCCGTGCTCGGCCCGCCTCACCCCTCCGAGCCCAGTCAGTGCAGCCCTGATCCGGGGCTGGGTTCAGCCAGAATATTGTCACTCAGGAGCAGCCCAGTCTCTGGAACTGAAATGACAGCAGCCAAACTGGGGTGACCCCAGGGTCTGTGTTTCCCTTGTCACCTCCTCTTCCTGTCTCCAGGTCCTGGATGGTGGGTGGTGGGCCGGGGGAGGTCCTGGGAGCCATGGCCTTCCCTCTGTGTCCTGGGCAGGTTCTGAGTTGGTAGCTTCAACTCCATCAGGGTCAGGAAGGGAGGACACGGATGCAGCTGTGCCTTCTTGGTTCCCTTAGACACTGAAGGATAAAGGGCAAGGAGCAAGTTAGGGAGACCTGCCCCCCTGCCCTGATGCACACAGCTTCCACAAGCTCCGTTTCAAGTTCTCACCTATGATGAGAAAGAGGAGCTCATGCCAGGCGGAGAGATGCCCTCTGCCCTCTGGGCAGATTCTCAGCAGAGGAGAGGGAAGAGTGGATGTCAAGGCCCGGGCTGGGGGAGCTCAGCCTGCTCCATCCTGATGGAAGAGCCGTGGTTCGGCTGGGCCCAGAGCATGGGGAGGAGCTGCCTGATCTCTGCTTGTCTGGCTTCTCTGTGGTGCATGTCCAGGGCTACTTCTGGGTTCCTGTTTCCAATCATGGGGGTCTCCAGGGGACAAGTGGACAGTGTAGATGCTGAAGGTGCCCATGTCTGTCCTGCTGCTCCCGGGTCCCCAAAACTCTTTGACTAACGTTGTGCATGTTTAATTCTCTGTTGGCTGTGGCTGCTGCCTACCTAGGAGCTGATAACTAATCCTCCTCAGCAGGTGAGTCACTCCGGGGCTCTGGTCACTTCAGGTTTTAACCACTGTCCTGGGCTGATGCCCTGAAGTGGGCCCAAAACAAGGGCTGGCCCATTTCACCTCCTACCTTCTTACTCTTCTGGGGACATCCAGATAGGGGGGCAGGCAGGAGGGCCCCCAAAGAGAAAAAAGAAACATAGGAAAGGGAGGGTGATGCAGAATACCTCCACCAGCAATGGGGCTCACTGTCTAGGGGGTGCGGAGAAAGCTCCTAGGTCCGTGTCTCTCCTGCCAGGCCCACGGCGAGGCTTTCCTGAAGGGCTGCCTGGGTGGGCACTGCCAACTCCAGGGGCCTAACTTCCAAAGATAAAGATGTCAGTAGTGACCCCTGGAGCTGGGCACCATGGAGCCACACAGGTTCTGTGGAGGAAGTCTCTAGAGTAGGCAGAATCCACCCGAGAGCCTCACCATCTCCCTCTCCAGGGCCCAAGGCAAGAAGGGGTAGAATCTTTGAGTTCTTGGGAATCTGCTGGAACCCCAGAGGGGAGAATTCTGCTTGGCATTTTGCCCCCGTTTCTGCACCCCTAACCACATGGATGCCCTTTGCCCTGGGCACGTTGGGCATCACCTGAAATCCCTGGGAGTCGGGGGCCGAGGCCTTAGGGGGCTTGGACCAACGTCTCATCATCAGCTTGGGGAGGTTGTCTGAGAGGAGGGCATGATGAGTGGGGCTTGATCCTGTGGGGGACATGGTAGGTCATGTCACATTACCTAAAGTCACAGGGATCGGTCAGACCTCTCCCCGGAACAGCCCCTTCCATAGGTTATCCAGGGAGGATAGTGTCTAAAAGGGTGGTCTTCACTCTCTCCACCCATGCTTTCTAGCTCGTGGTRAAGTCCCGGATCCCTCCTGTGAGAGCTAATTATTCAACACTGTCCTCTCCCCCATCTTCTTCTTTCCTCCTTCCTCTCCCCCTTCTATTATAAGTATCCCCAGGTTGGTAGGAGGGTGGCTCCTGGCGGGTGGGCAAGAAGGAGATTGGGGAAGGCGTATATCTCAATGCTTCCCCTGGACTCATTGCAGAAGGAGTTGGGCTCCACAGAGGACATCTACCTGGCCTCCCGCAAGGTCAAAGAGCTGTCCGTCATTGATGGCCGGAGGGCGCAGAACTGTATCATTCTTCTCTCCAAGTAGGTGCTAGCCCTGTCCCTAAGGCCCCTCCAAGAGAGGTTCTGCTGGGAAAGAGTGGGCCCTCCAGGGAGCACGGGTCCAAGATGGGGCTAAGAAAGAAGGAAGTTGAGTGTCTAGCAAGAGGGGTGGCAGAGGAATGGGGTGATGGCATCTCTGGCCTCCTCCTTTGCTGTCCCTTGGGAAGGGAATGGACACTGACCTAGAGTCCTCTCCTGGGAGTCCCTTGTTAAGCAGCAGCCGGGGGCTGTGCAAACAGGAAACTGCCCCAGTCACCAGGCCCCTGACCAGCCTGGTCAGCGTCTGGCAGCTGAGCTGCTCTAAGCCCGTGGAGGGCCCCACTCAGCTCAGGCCACAGAGCTGCATGATCTCAGCCCCTAGGCATTTCCCGCTCCCGCAGAACAAACAGGGCAGTATCTGCACTAACAGCACAGCTTCTGTGCGGGCCTCCCCAGTCAGGGTCAGGGGCACCGCCTCCCGGACTATTCTTAGTGTTGCCCCCAGTTGCCTCTGGGACATCTGCCCCTCTGTGCTCCCACAAGGCCCCAAGCCTCAGTTTCTTTCATTGGATGGTGGGATGTGCTGGATCCCTGGGGCTCCCCGTGGGTGTGGGTGTGCCTCTGGAGGGGCTGGGGAAGGCTGTCAGGYGAGTAGGGGGCTGGCTTCTCCCTGTCCCAGATGGCAAGACTGATGGGAGCAGCTGTGTGGGAGCCAAGCACTGTCAGGGGCTGAGAGCAACTCTGTCTYCTGAGAATGGAAGGGGGAGGAAACAGTCCCCTCAGAAGGCCTGTCCTCCCATGGCGGTGCTATAGATCTTTAGGCATGAGGAGGTGTCTGCACTGGTGATGTCCCTTCTACACCCAAATGCCCCTAGCAGCTCTGACAAAGCCTCAAGCAAGACACCAGTGGCTCAAGTCTCCACGGAGACACTAAAATACCTGTTTTCAAGTAGATGGGTTGACTCGTATTAGTTTAGACGAATAAGGCGTGGACACAGCGCCATCAGCAATACTCCCAAGTCCACGTTCAGGACAGATAAGAGGCTGAGGCTGTGTCGTCTGGAGAAGAAGTTTGGGGGTGTCTTAGCTGAGGGGCCAGACCGGGCTGCTCAGCGGTGGGCTTTGTCTCAGGTTGAAGCTTTCTAACGAGGAGATCCGGCAGGCCATTTTGAAGATGGATGAGCAGGAGGACCTTGCTAAGGACATGTTGGAGCAGGTGAGGAACCTCATGGGAAGGAAGAGAGCGGAACCTGGGGATAGCCAGCCCCACCCCTTCCCCACAGCCCCCAGAGAGGCTGAGACTCATGGGGCAAGGAGAAGGCAGGCTGGAGTAGTTGGGGAAAAGGTTTCTAGAAACTGCCCTGAACGAACCTTTCTGGGGGAAGCCTGGAAAAGGCTGCCAGGGATCCTTGAGGCCTCTGGAAGGAGGTATGAGGTCTCAAAGCAAACTCAGGGTGAACAGTGGTCACATCTTCCCCAAATCTCTTCTACCTCAATTTGCTGTGTCCTTTAAGAGAAACCTAGAAAACAATTGGATTTCATTAAAATTAAGAGCCACCATCAATCAAAGGCACTGTTACTAGAATGAAAAGACAAGAAGAAGTTTACTTCCATACACATGTGTGTGTACACACACACACACACACACACACACACACACACCCCTACACATCAATGAAAAAATGAGCAAAAGACTTGATGAAGCACTTCGTGAAAGAGGATTTCCAAGTGGCCAGTGAACTTGTGAAAAGGTGCACAGTGCTATTGGCCATCAGAGAGACCAGGAACCACAGGAGTAGCTACACACACACCCAAGTAGCTAAAATTAGGAAGATGGACAGTGGCAGGTGCTGTGAGGACATGAAGCCATTGAGATTCTCAGGCGGTGCATGTAGAGGCTAAATACCCGCCTACCCTCTGCCCACTAATCCCACACTTCAGTGTAGGCGCAAGAGGAACTGGTACCAATACTGACTAAAATACATACACAAGAATATTTATAGMAACTTTATTTATAAAGCCCCCAAGGTGTGAACAACTGTCCATTGACAGGAAAGTGAATAAATAGTCTGGTATACAGCAGAATACTACTTAGCAATAAATAAGTACCAAATTACCAATACACAGGAAGGATGAATCTTAGACTTTATGTTGAACAAAACAAAACAAATAAACAAAACACCACATAGCATCATAGCCCATTTTCTGTGCTATAACAAAATATGTGAAACTGACTAATTTATAAATAATAGAAGTTTATCTGTTTAGCTCATAGTTCTGGAGGCTGGAAATCTGCTTGGCATCTTGTGGGGACCCTGTGCCACAGCATAGCGAGGTGGAAGGCATCCCGTGATGGGACAGAGCAAGCATGCTTCTTGGGTCCCTTTTCCTCTTAGGATAAAGCCACTCATACCGTTATGGACGCCCCACCCTAGTGATCTCATCTAATCCTACTTTCCTCCCAAAGGCCCACCTCTGAATATCATTCACATGTGATTTGGGGATTAAATTTCCAACACGTGACGTTTGGGGGCCATGTTAATCCATAGCACACAGAATGAGGTTGTTTATACGGTGTTTAAGGTGATACAATTCAGCTGAGTTGTATTAGGGGCATAGAGGACTTTCTGAAATGAAGCAAGGGAACTCTCTAAGGGGAAGGAAATATTTTTTACTTTATTCTTATTGTTCAGTGGAAGGTCTTGACAAAACCCAATGAACTACACATTTAAAATGGGTCCATTTTATTTCATGGAGATTATAGCGCAATAAAGTTGGCTCCAAAAGAAAAATCATCCAGCTGTGTGGAATTGCTGATTTTAAGTAATTACTTATTTTTAATTCAGAATAATGTACATTACTGTATGTAAGCTATATCTCAGTTTTAAAAGGTGAAAAGAAAAAAGAAAGAGGTGCCATCCTCTGAGCACCRGTCCACACGAGAGCACCTGTCTCTGAGCCCTCCCCATCTGGTGCGCCCCATCCGAGCACCTGGGCTCCTCATGCACTGCACCCCCTCCCAGCTGCTCACCAGGTTCTTGTCTGAYGTGCCCCTGCTCTTTGCAGCTCCTCAAGTTCATCCCGGAGAAGAGTGACGTTGACCTCCTGGAGGAGCACAAACACGAGCTGGAGCGGATGGCCCGCGCCGATCGCTTCCTCTATGAGATGAGCAGGTTGGGGCGGCCTTTGTAGCCAGAAAGGGGAAGGAGGTGGCGGGCCCAAGAGGGGGCCAGAGCTGGCTCCTGGGGCTGGGGCTGGTGGCGGTGGCCTTCTGATGTAGCTCACTCTGTCCACAGGATCGACCACTATCAGCAGCGACTGCAGGCCCTCTTCTTTAAGAAGAAGTTCCAGGACCGACTGACCGAGGCCAAGCCCAAAGTTGAAGGTATGGCTGAGGGCTGGGGGATGGCTGGGATGGAGAGGCATCTGGGAATCCATGAATGGGRCAGAGGGAAGCTCCTTCCTTATTTTTAACCCAAAAGGGAAAAAGAAAGGCAAGGACAAAATTTAAACTGTGATGTTGTCGAAAAATGTGCTTATTTATATTAATCTCTGTGACAACCATGTGACACATTTCTGTGTCTCAGCATGCAAACTCTCTGCCCTGGAGAGCATCCTGTCCCACTGTGGAACAGAAACAAGGAGAAGATAATAGCTGCACCTAGAACAGCACCTGGTGCACATTGAGCTCATCTGTTTTGCCCACCTGAGAGGTGCTAAGTTCATAGAAGACCTCTGGGCACATTAATTCATGTTTGAGCTACTAAGAAGTAAAAAATTACATACGGTGATTCATGGAGACATCTGATTTTCTGAGTGCACGACTGTAGTCCTAGCTACCCAGGAGGCAGAGGCAGGAGGATTGCAAGTTCAAGGGCAGTTTCTACAATGCACTGAGACTCTGTCTCAAAATAAAGAGGGTTATGGTACAGCTCAGTGGTGGAGTGCCCACTGGGCTCAGTCACCATACCATAAAACAAAAACAAAAACTGAAAACCAACAAGAATTATGATTTCTGAGAACCATGTACCAAGCATTATGCAAAAAGAAAAAGGTGTCATTTGGTCCTTACAACAGTCCCATGTGTGAGTGCCATCGTCACCCTCTATGTGCCTCCTTTCTCATGTCTGAAGTAGGACTGTGGTAGTTGCCTGGTGACTCTGGCAGTTGTCACTGATGGGTGGTGGAGCCAGGGTAAGGATGCACTTGCTGTCTTCCTAACCCACGCCTTTCCCCTGTCCAGTGGTACTGTCCACAGGACATCTTCCTGGGGCTGCCTGTTGGGATGGCAGAGGAGGGAGGGGCAGAGAGTTGCAGAAAAGACAGGAGAGCAGGTTGGGGACAAAGGCTGGGAAGCCCAGCAGAGGGGAACAAGAGAGCCTGTGTCCCAGATGCTGAGGGTGCAGGGCTTGGGGCAGAGCAGAGCATGGGCCCCCCCTGCTGGACGCCAGGGTCAGTCAGCCCTCCCGCCAGTCCAGGGAGTGGACCTTGGTGGAGTCCAGTGGGCTGCTTCCAGGAGGCTTCTGAGGAAGGATGGAGCATGGAGAGCTAAAGGCAGACACTTTCTGTAACCTGAACCCTGTCCCCCTTCATACCATCCTCAGGCAGTGAGGGACCAGCAGGTGTGTTTAGAGATAATGGGTCTGAGAGAGAAGGAAAAACTCAGGAGTGACTCTCCATCGCTAAGCTCTGGTGGTATCTCCTCGCCCTCTGACCAGGGTGATTCCTTATCTTCATCTGACTTCCTTCCTGCGGTAGATAGCCTTTGGGGCATGAGGCACAGATAAGGCRTTCAGCCCAAGATGTGTGCGCTCAACAGTTTGTGTGTCCTGGCTCATTGGAACAAATGGGAGCAACTGTCATTGGAGTTTCAGAAGCAGAATAGCTTAGCCATGGGGTAGGGTCAGTTCCAGACAGCTCCCCGTTCCTGCTCCTAAGTGCTTCCTGATAGTCTGGGGATGTTCTGGAAGGTCTCCCTTTAATATCAAGCTTCACAGAGCAAGATGAGTTGGAAGACAAAAGTGCTGGGAAAGTCACTCTCCGAAAGCTATGCTGCCTAAGACTCGCTCTGCTGGCGGATGTCTGAGGGCAAGGTAGGGAAGAGAGGGCTGGGTTGGCTATTATAGAATCAGATCCTGTGCTTGATTCGGGGTAGAGAATTATGCAGCGGCTAAGAGTCACACTCTTCTTTCCAGTTCTTCCAGGAAATATTCCTGGAGGATCCAAGATGGAGCCTATCCTAGCTGGGTCCTGGGCTAGTGACACCCATACTCTCATCCTCCAGCAGGGACTCTGGGTCAACTTACCTAAAGTCAATGCACCAACTTGGACAAATTTGCCTGTTCTTCTATGAATATATTCATTAACATATCCTGAAATATATTCTTATGAATACGTTCATTGCTGAGTATACCAAATTTACTGATTCTTATTATGTATTATTATGAATACATCCTCTGAATACAGTCAAGATGAATATGGTTGCAAATGTAATATTCTTATGAATATATYCATGARTATATTCTTCCTGAGTGTATCTCAAATGTCAGGACTGCATAGGGGAGTTTTCCCATTGACACTGATTTCCTTTGAACCCCTGTAAAATTTTCTGTTTGGCCAACATTTTAGCATTTTTCTAGGATCCCTTTGCAGATTTTTCAAATAGCATATCAACTTTAGAAAAATTATCCCAAGGAATATAAATTGCCAGAAACTTTTAGAACTGTTTTTTTTCCAAATGAACTTTTTTATTGAAATAGGACAAAGCACAGAGGAGAGCCCCACTTGATGAATTGTTATAAAGTGAACCCCATATACTCACACCTGCTCAGACCTGGAAGGTTTCCAGACCCCCAGACTCYTCTGTGCATCTTTCTCCTAAATGTTGCCCCCTTCCAACTATTAAGGCCTCCCTCTTCTCCAAAGAGACTTTTAGTAATTTTTTTTATGAAATTTATATAAGTGGAGTTATAGGTTCTGAATAATTTCATGCTGGCTTATTTTGCTCAACATTATGGCAGAACTTAAAATTTTTAAGTGCTAGGTTTAGGAAGGAAAAGTATCMTATTCATAGAAAGGACATAATAATCTTTTATGCATGAAAAGGTTTTTTTCAAGTATGTTCTTGGGAAAAGTATTGGTGCCTTCCAAGAAGTCTGGTGCCTTGGTCTTGGCGAGTTCGTCTGTGTCCGTGGAGCTGGAAACTTGGAGATGAGAAGTGGGAAAGCCTCTGGCCCACAAGAGTTGAAGACATTGGACAGTGGCTCTCTGAACTCTATTGKGGCATCTTCTTGGGGTGTAAGGGGAGCAGCTGCCCTGCTCAGGCTCTGACCTGTCCCCCCTTTCCCAGCCATCCTGCTGGCCTCCCGGGAGCTGACTCGCAGCAAGCGTCTGAAGCAGATGTTAGAGGTCGTCCTGGCCATTGGCAACTTCATGAACAAGGGGCAGCGCGGGGGCGCCTATGGGTTTCGGGTGGCCAGCCTCAACAAGATTGCTGACACCAAGTCCAGCATCGACAGGTGGGGACCTSTTTGCCTCCTTAGCCTCCAACTCACCTTACCCTTGACCTCTCTCCCCAAGACTCCCTGTCTGTGGGTCTCCTCCTGACCCTCATTCTGCTTCCTGGTCCCTCACCCCTGACCTGTCATCCACAGAAACATCTCTCTGCTCCATTACCTGATCATGATTCTGGAGAAGCATTTCCCTGACATCCTAAACATGCCTTTGGAACTGCAGCATCTTCCAGAAGCCGCCAAAGTCAAGTGAGGGGTCCCTCTAAGATGTCCTTATCCCCATGATGACATGCACCTTGGGCTAACTAGGAGTGGGCAGCAATCCAGGGGCTGCTTTTGGGAGAACCAGACAGTTTGCTCWTAGATCCTTATTTCAGTGATGCTTCCAGAAAACACCAAAAGAGGAGTGGGCAGTAAGCTAGRAAGAAACGGAATGCCCAAAACAGGGACCTTGGTAAGCCAGTTACCATGGTAGGAAAGTGGCACCAAGCCCCACTAGGCGACTCCAGGAGGTTGGATATCCCACCCATGGGGTAAGGGCGCTGGGGCAGTCACACAGTATCCCATGTCATTCATTGGCTGAGGGCGTTTCAGGAGGCTAGAACTCTCTGATCATGGGTATAGGCTGAGGAGGCTACCCCAGAAAAAGTGCTCACCCAGCTGGAAGAGTTGAGGCCATGTTAATGGATGGATGGCGGACATAGCSTGGGGCTTCAACAGCCTCTGCTACCGAAATCAGACCTGAACCCAAGGGCTGATAGAAACCATCTCCAGTGGAACCAGAAATGTAAATGGCTAATAGGTATCCAATGCTTGCTGCATACAAAGTATATTGTGCCTTCGTTCTGTTGCTATCACATAATATCCGAGACAGGGTAATTTATAAAAAATAGTTCATTTGACTCATAGTTCTGGAGGCTGGGCTGTCCAAGAGCATGGCCTCAGGGTCTGCTTAGCATCTGGTGCATCATCACATGGCAGAYGACATCATACTGCAAGACAGCAAGTGTTATTGCTAGCTTGGGTCTCTCGTCCTTATAAAGCCACTGATAACATCATGGGGGTCCTTACCCTTATGACCTCATCTAATCCTGATTATCTCTCATCAGCCCTACCTCCAGATGCCATTAATATAACTTTTCGATACAGGAACTTTTRGGGACACATTCAAGCCACAGAATCCTGTTAAGAACGAATAAGCAGTACCTGATACTAATAAAAAATAGAAGTCTGAGCCAGAGGCCATGTGTTAGAAAATATGGAGCATGGCATTTCTGATCCAAAAGGGTCTATGCAACAGAACTCTATGCACCAGCAGGCAGAAGGAAAGTGATTTTTCTAGGGCCACCTGTTAGTAGCCTAAGCAGAGCTGAGACTGAGGTCCACAGACCCCCAGGCCACTGTGCTTAGTGCTGCTGTCCACCTGAACCAGCCTCAGGTCCTCCTCCACAATGCAGAGCTGGTGACCTCCTCTCCCTCCTGTCTCTCCACAGCCTGGCGGAGCTGGAGAAGGAGGTTAGCAACCTGAGGAAGGGCCTAAGAGCTGTTGAGGTGGTGAGTACGTCATCAAGTGTGCCTGGGCTTGGGGGGATGCCAATAGAGAAACAGCTGTCCATGCTGTCCACCCTGGATTGACGGTAGACTCCAGTCTGAGGCACTTCTGTGACCTAAAGCTCCTGGCTGAGGTCCAGCAATTGGCACAGGGAACACAGCCCTCAGGAAAGGGTGATTGGATTATCTGGGGTTTAGGTTTCGGCCCCCACAGAGGGGACAATTGAGGTTGTTTCTATATCMCTGTCCAACATGATGTCCATATGGAAGGGGATGGAGTGAACTATAAATCTGCCATGTTGTAGTTCAATTCAAGTGGATAGGAAAGCGGAGAACTGGCTAGGCATAGGGGTCACGCAGGGTTGCAGAGGGGTCTGCTGGCCCCAGAAAATTCTTCCTCATGTCTCTTCACCCCACTGGGTCAGAGGGGGACCCATTGCTGTCCTTGCTGGAGGCTCAGGTGTCCTGGTCCATTTAARATGCCATGAACAGAGTCGCTTATAAATAAGAGAAATGGCTCCCAGATCTGAAGTCCAGGAAGTGTAAGATCGAGTTGCCAGCTGATTCAGTGTCTGGTGAGGGCTTGTTCCTCAGAGATGGCACCTTCTTGCTGTACCCTCACATGGTGAGAAGGGCAAATGAGCTCCTGTGGGTCTTTACTAGAAGGGTACTCATCCCATTCACATAGACTCTGCCCTCATGAACCACCACAGCTCAAAGACTCCATCTTTCTAATACCACCCAGTTGGGAGAGCAGGATTTCATCCCATGAATTTGGAGGAAACACACAGACCATAGCACCCAGTCTTTGGCCTTTTTCATTCTTGCTCTGATGCTTCTCAGCTAATACCATCTCTGGCTCTAGGCAAGGCAGGCCCAGTATTGGGATGTCCTCAACCTTTTGTCCCTCACTCCTCCAAAACCTTTCCCTCTTCCTTGTAGGGAAAGGGAAAGTGTGAGTGGGAAATGGACTTCAAGAAAGAAGTGACATTAAGTATAAGAAATAACCTTTTGCCACCATGGGGCAAGGGGTGATTTCCAAACATCCAACTTGTTAGTGTGGTCCATGGACCAGCACCAGTTGGGAGCTTTAGAAAACACATATTTTAAATCTTCACATGACTCCCTGGGGGTCTTGTTACAAGGTAGATTCTCACCCAATAGGTATGAGGTGGGCCTGAGACTATGTATTTATTAAGATTTCCCAGGTGATTCTACTAGTCCCAGAACACATTCTGTGTAGCAAGGCTCTTGAAAAAGAAAGAGGACATTGGTAGGTGAGGGCATAGAGGTGGGTGAAGTGGTGGATAACTCATACTCTGTAGCACCCTGAGGACTGTGAACTCTAGGTGTTCCCTCTTCCAAAGGGAGGCTCAATGTCCCGTGAGTGGCAAATGGGGGTGGTGATGATCCCTGAATTCCTGATTCTGATTCTGAATTACTCTTCCTTCTCAGGAGCTGGAGTATCAGAGACGCCAGGTRCGGGAGCCCAATGACAAGTTTGTCCCAGTCATGAGCGACTTCATCACAGTATCCAGCTTCAGCTTCTCAGAGCTGGAAGACCAACTGAATGAGGCCAGGGACAAGGTAAGGGTGCCCCAAGTGCCCCTTGACCCCAGCCAGACCCTGAGCACCACTGCTCCTCATCTCAGCTGTGTCTAGCAGAGCTCCTTCACCCCTACCTCCCACAGACAGCCCAGGGGGAATAACCCCAGAGCCACAGAGCTTTGAGGAAGAATTGTCCCCTCACTCCTGCAGGATGCGTGAGCATATTGCACCCGTATGGATAACCACATACTGCAAAGAACACAGTCCGCTTATCAGGGTTGAGGTACCACCCTCCTTACAGGTTCGCTAAGGTTTCACAAGCCCACTCAACAAATAGGACATGGAGGGTGACATGCCCATGRTGGCCAGTTATAAATGATGGAATTGGCTGAGGACCCTAACTCTGCTTTGCAGCTTTGGACTTGATTGCTTTGCTTTTCCCAGCTTCTTAGGCTGATCTGCACATAGGCCCAGTATGTGGGGCTTTTGTAAACTGGATTCTTATTCAGGAGGCTTGGTGTGGGGCCTGAGACTCAGCATTCCTAACCAGCGTCCAAGAAGTGCAGAGGCTGCTGGCCCAGGGAGAACGCTGAGTTACGAGGTGTTCTTTAGAGGCTGTTGCTTGGGTTGAATTAGAGATGACAGCTGATGGCAGCTGTCAGTCCAAACAGGGCCTGACACGTGTAACTACTCCCTTGCATCTATTCTCATTGACTCCCACAATAGCACTACAGATTCTATTATTTCCATCTTACAGACGAGGAAGTTGAGGCACAGAAGAGTTCAATAAGTAACCCAATAACTAAATGATCTCAGGTTCATTGTGACTGGGCAGTTCCTGACCTCAGAAAGGGCTTCCCAAGGTCTACACTTCATGACCTGGACCTTCACCATAGCAGACCCAGAGGTGTCCATGAGGTAGCCTGTCAGTCAGTCCAAATCCCACCTCCCCAGGTGTGGGCCTCAAGCTTTTCCTTAGCCTTGTCCTTATGCATAGATAATGGGGTCTCCCCACTTCCTGTAATCCTGGGCTTTGGACTGGGCCATGTTCTGGCTGGAGCTCAGCTAACCACAGAGCTGAGCCATCTTGCTTGATGACTCTCCACCAACCTGTTCCCTCCCCGCACAGTTTGCCAAGGCACTGATGCACTTCGGGGAACATGACAGCAAGATGCAGCCCGACGAGTTCTTTGGCATCTTTGACACCTTCCTGCAGTCCTTCTCAGAGGCCCGGCAGGACTTGGAGGCCATGAGGAGGAGGAAAGAGGAGGAGGAACGGCGGGCACGCATGGAAGCCATGGTGAGGCTGGGCCTGGGGCAGGATGAGGGCAGAGGGGAGGGCCTGAGAGGAGGGTCAGGGCAGGGAGCCACTTGGGGGTAGAATTGATGGGCTGAGGCGGAAGGGGCTGGGGCACACTGGAGGTGCCAATGCCCATCCTGGAAGATAGCAGTGAGAAGTTGGGGCATCCTGAGAAGTAAGGTGGGGGTGTAAGTGAAGCACCCCCAGTCTAGGGGTGGGCCCCCAGCTGTCAGGCCATYGGTGCAGCAAGGGGACTATGCAGCTGCCCTGCCTTGGCCCCTGTCCCTGAGGGGGCTCCGGCTTCTCGACCCCCACCCCCAGCTGAAGGAGCAGCGGGAGCGGGAGCGGTGGCAACGGCAGCGGAAGGTCCTGGCGAGCAGCACCCTGGAGGAGGGAGGAGAGTTCGACGACCTGGTGTCGGCCTTGCGCTCTGGAGAGGTGTTCGACAAGGACTTGAGCAAGCTCAAGCGTAGCCGCAAGCGTTCAGGGAGCCAGGCCCCAGAAGCCACCCGTGAAAGGGCCATTAACAGGCTAAATTACTGACCTGGGGAATGGCCACGTGGGCGGCCAGGAGACAGGGACAGCTGAGAGGGGTTCAATGGAGGAGGTGGAATTCAAGCCCCAGGCTGGGCCCTGGGTGAGGCTGGGTGGGGCTGGACCAGGTGTCTCCCCACACTTACCTTAAGGGACTCTGCTCACCTCCTCCACATTGATCGTTCTGATCCTGGCTCCTGGGGGGAGCCTCTGGGGTTGGCTTGGACATCCCTGGCAAGTCCTGGCCAGGCAATCTCAGACTGAGGGGGCCCTGTTCCTGCTCCCCGCCCTGGGCAAACCCACGCTATCGCAGAACTGTTCCAGATCTAGACTGGAGAGGTCCATGGACCTTGTCCCAATCTGATCTCCTGTGCAGTGGGGAGTAATGGTGGTTGGGCCTCTGAGAGCCAGGGGGAGGGAATCCAGGCTCCTATCGCTGAAGAGGCGGCTCAGTGGAACATGAATCTGGGAGCCAACTTTTTTCTTGGCTGGAAACCGAAGAGGCCTTATGTAAGATGAAGGTGATGTACGGACCAAAGTCAGCAGGACGGAGTAGCAGTGCCTGTTTCCCACARTGTCAGTCCTTTGGTCCCTCTCCCTTCCCTATCCCCATGTCCATCCTATCTACTAATCTACAATCCAGCAAATGTACCCCAGGGTTCCCAGGACTACGACTCACTACGAGGTGCTTGACAAGTCTGGTGAGGGAGGGAGTAAAAGAAGACTTCATGTGTCCTCACACTTCATGTCTTGGGCAAGGGATCCTGTGACAACTCCCTATTGTCCTGAAGTGAGAGTGATCACACATGTTGCTAGAGTTCCTGGGAGCCCCTCACCAGAGGGTGACACTTGAAAACCTAGTTCCATGTAACAGTTCCCTGGGCTCCACACCTTCTGAACATCTGCCCCAGGGCAGAAGTCACAGCGGCCTCCCGCCTGTCCAGGCTGCAGAGATTTCTTGGAACCATGAAAAGTTGGCTGAGGCTGGCCCTTGGAAGTTGGTTCCTGAGGGCCAAAGCTACCCTCTGCATTTACAGTCACCTCTAAGGATGGTCCCCCTGGAGGCATTCAAAGTGGGGGCTGAGGGGACAGGCAGGGAACACTGGGGAGATGGGGAGACAAGGCCACTGACTTCCTTGGAGAGCACAGCGCTTGAAGGAGCCAAGGGAGGACAGCTGAGAGAAGGSGCCCACTTCCACCTCTGGTGGTCAGTTTGGTTCTTGCAAAGGGGCCCATACTGGTCCTCCTGTCCACCACCTTCATTTTGTCCATACTGAGTTGTGCTTGGCAGGTCAGCAGAACAGCTGTATCTGGACAGGTTTTCTTTCTTCTAAACGGAGGAGGGTGAGGTCAGCAGGGGGAGATCAGCTCCATCAAGGCCTGTATTTTCTAAACACATACCTTCAGGTTAGCCCTGCCTGATCGGCACCATCAGCTGGCTCCCGATCCCTTCCCTTTATAGTTCTCATCTTCCAATCCCATCTTCCTGGCTCAGGGTCGTTGCCAGTGGACAGAGTGGTGGGCTGGGCTCACTTTTGAGCTGCCTATCTTAGGTCTTTTCCCTATATCAGATTTCTAGGGTGGGATCATAGTAGCTGTGGGGGAATAAACACAGGGTCAGTGAGGCCAGCATGTGAGTTGGTTTGAGGGGGAGGTTATAAGTGTTTTGGTGGGAGGGATCCGAGCAAGTGCAAGCTTGGTCAGCATAGGTGTGAAGAGGCCATCCTGGGACCTAGGTGAGGGTTAGGCAAAGGCTTAGGCTTCTAAGAGCAGTTGCTGAGAGCTTTGTTACCTCCATCCAAGAACCTCTGCTGCAAGCAGTGGGCTCTGGGAGGATGGGGGTTCATGATGGGGTTTCCTAAGGTCCTCTCCCAAACTGACTGGGCTGAGTCAGCCAGGGGCAGCGAACGGGGAGGGCTCTACTTCTGTCAAACCAACACCATCAAATCTTGGCATTCCCAACTACCATGGAAGCCCGGATATTCACCAGCAAAGACATGGAATATGGAAGCTGTTCAAGACACACTCAATTCTCAGCAAGGCAGGGTTTGGTTTAACTGTTTACAGGGGACACATTCTTCCAGAGCCCAGCCTTCTCACCCCCAAAATATTTTTTTCTATTTATTATTTTCTGGATCTGGCCAGTGGCTCTGGCCAGATCTCCAACAGTGCCTTGGACTATGGACCATCACGGTCAAATCAATAAGGTGGCCCTGGTGCCCAAAGTAGATAGCGGGGTTGGTCCTTGGTGTTAAATGATTAAGCCTGTATATATGTTCCTTGGTTTTGCTTTCCCCAGGATTCCTGCAACCTTCTTACCCCATTTGGGGGGTAAATTCCTCTAATTTGTGTCCACTGTAAAATTTATAGSCAACCTCATGTGACCCTTTTCAACAGCGGCAGCAGCACCATCTCCCCTGCCCATGATGGATGTATTTAGGGGAGTGAGAAAATTCTCCAGGTGGATGGAAAAGGGTCTGGTCTGGGTTCTCCCCATACCTCTCCCATTGCCACCAACTGGGCAGCCATAACCATCTCTCTCCACCCTCTACAAGGGACCTCTACCAAACTTCATGGCAAGGCTGCTCTCACCAGCTGTCTCAGATGACAACTGAGGCTCATGTACAAAATCTGCAGTGTCCTTTTTACCTGCACCATTTTTTATAAGAATATATTGTAATACTAAAAAATATTAAATCCATACCATCCCTATCCAGGCTGCTAGAAACTTGTGCTTCCTCCCAGAGGGGACTTGAGGTGGGCTGGGAAGTGGTCACAGTGGGGGATGTGCCATAGCCAGCTGGTACCTGCTCCACAAAAGTCCGCAGTGTTACATGGAGAGCTAGAATTGSGAATATTTGTATCAGGAAATCGTTTTTCAGAGCTGGTTGTTCAACCTTTGCCATCACACCTCAGCAGGGTCACCACTGAGACCCCCAGAGGAGCCCATTCACATTAGAGAACCCAGGGGGCTAGGCCAGTGTTTGGGGGTGTGGAAACAGGAGCCTCCAAATCACTCCTGGTTACTAGTAGCTGGTGATACAAGCAAGGTGGTTGGGGTGCATCACCCCTGACAAAATTTTTTTTACAGTGCATTCCCATACCTCCCATTCCCCGCGGGGGGCGGGGAAGCGGGCATATGGAGAGGATGCCGTTGGCCTTGCCAGGGTCTCCCTGCTTTTCTTGGGGAATGGGTCTGCRGGATGGATTGAGGCGGAATGAACCATAGCAGCCCAACACCCCCAGATACAGTCTCTGTTCTTGCCTCTCCAAATTTGGCACCGTGGCTTTATTTGTGTTGAGGGCGAAGGTCTATCTTCAACTCCCTTCTTTCCCTGACATGTTCCAGAATAAAGAGGTGTGTGTGGGTGGAAGGCAGTGAGCAGGTGTGGGGTAAGCAGTCAGCCAAGGGTCCCCAGAGTACCCCAACACGTGCATTCTGTGTAAGAGGGGGACAAGGAAAGGGAGCTGGCGGGTCAGTGCAATTGTTAAGTCCAAAGCCTGTAGGTGGCATCAGCCACAGACTAGGGCCAAAGGAAGGGGCAACTGGCTCTTTGGAAAGAGGGATGGCAGGAACGGAGGGACRGCACAGGGCTGTGGCCACATGAGATCAGGAAGGCCACACTATTGGAGAGAAGCTGTGACACATTCTTAAGCAAGCTTGTGCTTTTCCCTTCTCAAGTGGGTTCCTCTGCTTAATGAGCCCTTATTTTCTCCCCAGGAACCAGGGGAAGAGAGAACCCAAAATGAGTAGTTACGGGTTGGGTTTCCCAAAGCTAGTGTCTCCAACAGTTCATAAATAACATGTCCTGGTTTTCCTGTCACCTGGTGATGCTCTCTGTAGTCCCCTCCATTACCTCAGTGTCCTTGGAAGACTTAAAGGTCTATGGCATCCTCTCTGCATAAAGGGGACTTCACAGGTTATTATAAATCATCTAGCAGCAAAGGGACAGGCTCTAAGCCCGATGGAAGTCCCCCCGCTGGCCTCCAGTCTTGCTGATGAGTTTGACCTCCCCCACCACGATGTCCCTGCTGACAGCCTTGCACATGTCATACAGGGTGAGGGCGGCCACCGCAGCAGAGGTCAGCGCCTCCATCTCCACCCCGGTGGGGCCCCGAGCCCGACAAGTGGCCTGGATCACTGCTGCATGGCGCGAGCTGTCCAGCTCCAGCTGCACCTGGACATGGTTCAGGGCCACATGGTGGCACAGAGGAATGAGCTGGCTGGTGATCTTGGCCGCCTGGATTCCAGCCAGCTGGGCCACCACCAGGGCATCTCCCTTCTTTAGCTGGTTCTGTTGGACAAGCTTGAAGGCTACAGGCCCCAGGAGGACCACAGCTGAGGCCACGGCCACCCGCTCCGTATCTGGTTTCCCACCCACATCTACCATCGCTGCCTGTCCTTCCGAGTCCACATGTGTTAGCTGGTCTGAGGTCGACCAGGGTCCTGAGTGGGCAGCAGGAACCCGGGACCCTGGGCTAAGGCACTTTGAATTGGTGTCCGAGTCTGCATGGGAGCTGTAGTGTCTCTGAGGGCAGCCAGACCCCATCCACGAAGGGGTCTGGGGGATGCCACGTCCTTTCCAAAAAGTTGCCATCTGGTTGGAAAAACTCACTGTGGGTCTCAGACCCTGAACATGGAGGGGGTCCTGGGAGAAAATGCTCAGGCTGGCTGGTGGGGAAGAATCTTGGAGCAGCAAAAATAACTCTGGAAGACAAGAAGGAAGAGAAGAGAGACTAAGCCCAAAATATAATCTTTTTTCCTACCTGTTCTCTCCAACCCTCTCCCTGCCCCACCTCAAGTTCTCTTTCACACTGGGGGAAAAAGCCAAGAACAAAAAACAGTGWGAAGAAACAAGACAGAAGACAGACACAGGTGCTCACAGTTCACACTTAYAGCCCTTTGCTAGGCAATGATGGTGCAGGGTCATCCCTGACTTCCCTCTGTCACACAATCTTCCAAAATTCCTTTAAGTACCACCTAAGGCCTGAAGGCTGGAGTGTGGATTGAATGAATCCTCGGTGTCCCTTCATTTTCTTAAAAGAAAACTGTAGTTGGTCTCCCCATAAATTATCAATTATAGCTATTTTCTTCTTCATGTTCCCTACCAAGAACTAGTAGAAATCATTTAGTGTACAGACCAGACATAAAAAATACTTGATCTACTTAAAAAATGCCTTTCAAGTTCCCTCCGGTACATCAAAAGTGCACATAAACAGGTTGAGTCCAAGRGTCCAGAGGACCTTGGGAATTTTGCAGGCTCTTGCTGTTGACCAAATGGTGGCCAAGAGACCAACAACATCAGTGCCATCTTAGAACTCATTARAGATGAAGAATCCCACTCTAGTCCTCCTAAATAAGAATCTAAAACAAGATCCCCAACTGGTTCATATGTACATGGAAGTCTGTGAGGCTCTGTCCTAGGAACTCTGCCTTCATAGAAACAGACAAGTCCATGACCCTACATCCCTGAGAGTAATGGAATTCCTTGTGAAGTCAAGGTCTCCCAGCTTCTGGCTCTCCGTCACACTCTGATCCCCAGCCTTGTCGATATCAGAAGCACAGCCTCCCTTCTTGGGGGATCATCAAGGTGTTCCCCTCTCCTTGCTGTGAAGGTGCATCAGCACAGGCTAAGACCCACCAAGAGGACCACACTGCTGTAGTGGAGGCACAGGGAGGTGCTCACAGTGGCGTTTTCCTGGAGAGCTGCCTCCTTGGGTGGCTGGTGTGCTAAGGCTGTCTCTAGCTCGCTCCAGCGTGCACTCCTTTGCTCCAATCTCTGGAGAAAAGAACCCTTTGTTCCAGTTTTAATCACTGTGTTCTCTTGTCTAATGGTCTGATTTAAAGGGCCCAGGACTGGGTGTGACGCAGGGTCAAGGCCTCACCTGCTCTAATCTTGGCTCTGTGCCAGAAAGGCACAGTGGCCTTCCAGCTCTTCATGGACTGGCCCAGTTCTCTTGGGTAGGAGACCACACATAGCCTTACAAAGGGGTGATGCTTCCCGTGCACCCTTCCTAGAGTTCAGGAATTGGGAGGTTAAGATCCTAGCCATCTCCTGCCTGAAATGACTAGTAACATTGTGGCAGCTGGCTCCGTCTGCGCCTGGCACAGATGCACAGCACCAACCTCCAAGGTCAGTGGTCCAAGTGCATGGGCATGGATTACTCCATACTGCAGTGGGCAGAGCCCTGTGATTGTGTCCAAGCTAGAAGATTCCAGAGCTGAGGAAAGGGTCYCTACTTTAACCAAGAGCTCCATTCTCAAGGGACAACTAACTTATTGACCATTAGGTAGTCCCTAATGTTCTGCCCTGATTTCTGGTGGGTCAGAAGTGATTTCTGTGGCATGTATTGAGATGGGGAGCAGCGGGCAGGGAAGAGAAGACACAGTCAAGGCTGGAGGGGGTAAGAAAAGGCGAAGGAATAGGAGAAAAACAAAGAGCTCCAGGATGAGGTGCAGGAGCTGGGGTGCCTTGTGGCAGGGCCCCACCCCACAGGACCCCCCAATGACAAGGGTGAGTGGTTACGTACTGATGGGTCACCCACCGATGAGGATCATGGGCCGGTTCTTCATCTGGGAAATACTGAACATGCCTGGGGTAGGGAAGGATGGGGAGGGAGAGGAGAGGGAAGGGCAGAGAAAAGGCAGGAGAGGAGAGTTCACTAAAACGAACGGGAGGCCCACGTGCTCCGACAGCCCTGCACATGCGCTAGCCGTGACAAAAAGTCCCCACATGCATGTAGCCACATCACCCAAGACAGAGGACAGTCTGAATGCCCAGGGCACTGTCCTCTCTAACAGAAGACAACATGTGGAAATAGGAAATGGCAACCCTCTCTCCCTAACCGGTAACAGCCCAGTAGAATTTCAGGTCCTCCTGTGTAGCCCCTGCCATGCTCATTTCCCCAAAGGAGAACCACCCCCCCAAGTCCAGGGCTCCAGAAGCGAGTTGTAGCAGGGACACTTAGACCCACCAGCTTCTTCCCGGGCTTTCAGTCTGCTCACCCCTAATTCTGAACCTCCCTCCTGCTGACCATACCACCTCCCTGGCCTTCTCACTCCCGACCTTACCTGCATGACGTGGCTTCTTCCTGCCCACTGCAGCCCCAATGATTTTCAGCAGCTCCTCCTCAGAGGCCCCTGCCCGCAGGTGGTCCCTCAGTGATACCTCCGAGTTCCCGAAGAGGCACACCTGTGTGGGGTCAGGACAACAGGCCCCTCACCACTGAGCCTGAGCACCAGTGTCTGAGCCTCCCATGCAGGATCATACACAGAGCAGGAAACCCAGCCACGAGGGACAGAGGGTAATGAATGGAGGGGTCAGAGAGGCTGAAGCAAAAGAAGCAAAAGTAGACTTCCTGAGGCCCATGTCGGATTTAGTCGTATTTCCTTTAGTGAACACATCATACTTTGAAAAGTTAAATAGAGCCGGGTGTAGTGGTGCACATCTGAATCCCAGTGACTCGGGAGGCTGAGGCAGGAGGACTATAAAATTCAAGGGCAGCCTCAGCAACTTAGTGAGGCCCTAAGCAACTCAGGAAGACCCTGTCTAAAATAAAGAAATAAGGAGGCCTGGGGTATATAGCTCAGGATAGAGGACCCTGGGTTCCCTAGTACCACACATATTCACAAAAAATGTCAAGCAGATGACAACAGAAATAATACAAAAAATCCAGGTCCGTATCTTGCACTGAAATGTTCAATGGAACAGCCTCTTTACCACCAGTGGACCCCAATCAGTTGTAACTGAGTCCTTAGACAGGACATGCATATCCATCTCACCTCGGCCCCTCGGTCCTTTCACTGGTGGACATTACCACCTGCCCCACTCCTATTCAAGCCTGTGAGCCCCACTGGGTAGCTGGGCATTTGAGGGCTGGCAGAGATGACACTCTGGTCATTCAAGCTTCACGCAGTGCTTCCCAGCTTCTTTGAGAGGCTGGGCACTACAGGGGCTCAGGGACGGATGAGGCAGTCAAGAAGACGGATGAGAATCAAGAAGAAAGATGGGTGGGACATTTCCTCTCTGCTTGACATCTCTGGTGGGAGTGGCTTCTTTTCACAGTGCCAACAATGCCAAGCAGGCCCCTTTTCCTCCAATGCSGAGCCCTCACTGGGTGATATCACGTCCTGCCTTTTCCACCTAGGTGGCAACAGCTATTC